ATTGTACAGGTTACTATATAGTACCAAAATTACATAAGAACTATCCCTAAAGCTCTCTCTCATCTTTCACTCTCCTTAATGTTTGGACGTTTTCAAACATCATGGTCTCATGTAATAATATCTCTTTCGTTTATCAAAACTATATCTCTCTTTACTATTATAATAATAATCATAAACAAGTTTTATAATAATAAAAATAATTTAAAATTATTATTATATTATTAAATAAGGTTGTAGGAAGTATGTTTAGTAAAAGTGGTGTCAAACAATCTTTTTTCTTTATGCTAGATGCTAATTATGGATGAAATTCGAATCAAAAGTTAGGGATGCTTAACCATAGAGTTATCAAGTTGTTTAGATATTTGTTTCGGGTTAGATCACTAATGAATCATATTTTGGATCAAACAATATATAATTAATAAACAATAAAAAAGGTGAAATGAAAAAATTGGAAATCAAAATCAGCATATATATATTTAGAAGTATGACCTTAATTTAAAAAAAATCTGTCCTTTTCTCAATTTTCAAGAAAATCATAAATGCATGTATATTTAGAAGTATGATCTTTTTCAACTTAAAAATTCGTCCTTCTCCATTTTCAAGAAGATTCGCTGTTTGAAAAGATTTATTTCAAACCTAAGTTTACAGTATGAACCGACAATATCTACCGTTTCTTAGATGCTTTCAATATTAATTATCAGTTTTTCATCGGAAGCAATTATATATATCTCTAGATACTTTTTTTTTTTTTCTAACTACATGCAACTTCACAATTATAAATGTGGAGAGGATTGCATTTATAGGGTTATAAAAACATATTAAAGTTGGACTCTTATAAGAATTCATCTTATATTTTTAAGGATCCACAATATTATATTATATTTAAGTTTTTTTTTTAATTTTTATAAATTCATTTCAATTATAAATTTTTATAAGTAATTCATTATTTAATTACCATTTTCCAAGACTCATTATGAGTATTTCTCTCTAATTTATTATTTGTTGAATTTTATTGGTAAAAATTGACAAAAACAAATTAAAAAAATTAGAAAAGATAAATCTTAAAAATGTTACTTCTATAAAATATAATATTTAACTTTTCAAAATTATTATTATTACCGCCTCGAAATGTTCCAATAACAATTTTTTATAAGCATAATTGCTTGTAAGCAATTAGGACCGTATACAAATTGGTTAGAAATCCTCTAACTTAGTTGGTCAGCATTTTTTTTTTCTCTCTTTCTATCTTTTAGTTTTTAGGAATAGTTGTAATGTACTTTTAAGTGGGTTAGGCTCAGTAGTCATATATAATTTAAACAATTAACTCACCCAAAAAGTCACGTAATTTTATTTAATGCAATTGTATTTCGCACCTTTGCCTTTTAAAATCGGTGTTTCTTATTGTTTATCAAACTTTTTAATCGTAGACTGTGATTTTGAACTACTTCTAGTTCTAACTCATATAGGTCAAAGCTTTGACATTGGAATTGTTCTGTGGTATAATACAACTATGTATTACATTCCTTAGATTTTCACAGTAGGGAGGATTAAAGACAATTCAAAAGTCCTACTTGCATGCAGTTACCATTGCTGCAAACTTTATTGGTCGCTAATTATTTATTTATTTTTTGTCTAATTTACAACTATATATGTCTATGCATATTAACCTTTTGTTTAAAGAAAGGTAAATTATTGACTTAAACCACTTTCCAATTAAATAAACAATATTATTGTCATGATTGCACAGTTTTAGTATAGTATTTTGATGATTAATACTTATATTAATTAATTTATTTAGAGGTTAATGAGTACTATATATTTGTGTTGTTGAACTTAATAATTAAGTATTAATATAATTAGAGGTTAATGAGTACTTATATTAATTAATTTTCATGATATATTAATAATTTGAATATTATATGTTACGAGTAATATTTCAGTATCATAAAATTATTATTGTTAATAAATAGTTCATGATATATTATGTTAAAACTTAAATAATATTACATAGTTATTATCGCTATTATATCTTAGTGCTTTGATCAGATTGATCCAATTTTAAGTGCGACCTAGAATCCCTGATACACGTGAAGAATATATTTGGTATTGTTTATGAAAAATAATCAATTATGCAACATTGTATGTTACAAAATAAAAACAATAATCATACATCAAAGAATTTCTTTAAGAAAACGATGAGAAAAACTATAAATTTTATTGAAAAAATAATTAAACTTAATTATTATTTTTTACAGAGACAAGATCGAAGTACTTGGCACGACAAGAGATGGAATCTTAGTGAAATGATGGATCATGTATATAAATCTATTAGTATTGTGTTTGAAAAAGGAGAAATTGGACAGGAACGTTTGTCACCTAGCAGGTTTTATCAGATGAAAAGAATGAGGAGGGAGATGAATTCATAAAAGTTTTTTTTTTTCCCGGAATAGATTGTTATGCTACAAATATACGATACCCTATATATATCGTTACACATAAAAAAATATTACAATATTAGAATGGTTTTACATCAAACTAAAAATATCACTCCTAACTATAATTAAATAATTTTTTTTCACATGTTTTAAAATTTTAGTTCTGTGATTTTAATTTTAAAATATATTTTAGTGAAAAAAAATATAAATTATATTTAACTTTTAACTTCCAAATAACGTAAAATTTATAAACATACCAAAATATAGTAATTCCATTGAGCTATAAGTCACACAACACTTTATTTTCGATTTCATGTTCAATCTTATAAATATATTTAGCAAAAATATTCTGATTTTATATTTATTATAATAATATTAATAAATTAATTATTATATTTTAAAACTTTAATTGCGATTTTGTTTATTTGACATCTTAATTCTTAAAAAAATCCAATATTTTATTTGATAATTAATTATAAAAGGAAGACAGACTTTATTTTTTCGTTTTATTATACTTTTAATAAAAAATATTTTGTAAAAAATCATATAAGATATAATATTTACTACTAATAATTTTATAAAAAATGGTTACTATGGTAAAATTAGTATAATATGTTTTCATTCTTTGTAGAACCAAAAATAAAATATGAAATTGATAAAAAATATTTTTAATATTTACCTTAGATGGAGAAGTATGATCTGTCTTATTGATGTTTTCAAAAATGGTTTGAAGTGGTAATTACCATGCAAATGTTGTTTTCAGATACACTGTATATGAAGTGTTAATGTTAGACAAATCATTTATTTAATTAAAGCTGAAGTTACAATTTTGAGAACCATTTTAAAGAAAATTTTCGACCATTTTATTAACGAGTTTTGTGGAATTAAAATACTTCATTCTTTTGTACCTTCCTCCAATTTAATAATTGTTAAGGTAAATTGACATCTTCTTATTATTTATTATATTAAATGTAGCATAAATATACACGTGATGATCTTAGAAGACATATTTTAAGTGCATTGATATTACTAATGCTCTTGCTATTGATATTGAAGTTACTATAATATTGTGGTTTTTAAGCATTCTAATATTTTGTATTGGAAGTTACATGCAAGATTGAAGAAAAATATAGTTATTAAATTTATCATTCCCTTTAAATGTCCTCACTCTTATAGAAAAGAGAATACATGTGGTAATAAGTAAGTTAATTATAGAAATAAAATATTTATAATTTTATTAAGTATGATTTCTTTAAAAATAGACATAGTCTAACTAAATTAGATTTATTTAATTTTATCATTAGATTTGGCCTAATTCTTTAAAAAATCTTGTATTTGAGTTTTAATTGTAATATTTGATGTGTTAGAAATTATAGATGTCTGAGTGTAGGATATCCACTTTTAAAATAGATATGTTATTTTGGTTGGGAAAAAATAAATTAAAAGAAAAATGATTTTTTTTTACTTTAATATTATTTTTTAATTATTATGATTATAAAAATCTCCATAATATATTTATATGACGAAAAATGGATTATGAACATTAAAATTACATATTTGAACTAATATTTTAGACGTATGTTCCATTTTATTTCGATGTTTTGAGTAATTAGATAACTCAATCTAATTTAAATTAAGTGATAAATTTTTTAGTTTAGTTTTTTTATAATTTGATCAAAATCTTATAAATTAAGTCATAATTTTTTTTAGGTTGTACTAAATCCAAGCTAATTTAATTCAAATGATTAAATAATAATAATAATGTGTATTTAATTATTCTATTTATTAAATATGTACTTTTTAAATTATTTAAATATAATATATTTTTAAAAAGTATATTTAAAAGTTATAAATTTTAATAAAAATTTTAATCTATAAACCCAATTCAACCCAACAAATACACAATCCTTACGTTTCAAATATCTTATGGAAAATTCTTTCATCGTTATTTTTTTTAGACAATTCAAACACTGATATATATACAACTTATTATTATATTAAGAGAAGTTATATTTGGATATTTACATAATCATGAACAATAAAAAATATTAATACAATATAATATTATATTAAACTTTAAAATTTATATTATATTAATAATTAAGGTTGTGAAATAATTGTACTGGTTGTCAATCGTATTTTCTTTTCCTATTTTCTTGGTACATTCACTCGGTCTTTTTACACGTTCATCCTCTCTTTTCTTATCTTTAAACCAAACAAAACCCTAATGTCAATTCCTTAATTTAAATTAACTACATTCACAACCATTAATTAAAAGTAAAAAATGAAATTAGAAAAATTGCTGTAAGAAAATCTAAATTAAATAAATGTTAATTATTAATATTTTATGGTCTCTTTTAAAGTGCAATGTGGAGGAATAAAATCCAGTTTCTCATGATGATATATAGACGCGTAAAGTGTTCAACGGAGTTCTCTGCCACCAAACGTTTTTTCTTTTCTGAAGTCCACAACTAGAAGTTGAAACGTTGTGTCGGTGTGTTCGTGTCTGTGTCTGAAGTGGAAACGTTGTGTCGAAGTTGTCACTGTCTGACAAAGAGGGGGGAAATGGGAAGTGGAGTGATCAGAAAATTATCTGAAGGATCAACCCGTGCTCATTCCTGGAACCAAAACAGAACCACTTCAATTCACTTCCCTTTAGGTCCCACTTTTTATTTTCTGTTTCTTGAATCAAATGAGCATCAGCATGTGCATTCTTCGAGTTCACTGCATTTGGCATATTCCTCTGCCATCTCCTTGTTCGTTGTGATTTATTATCATATCATATTCATTTTGACGGGACTTCCTAACTTATTAATCTTCCTCACACTAGTATGCTACCAGCACAGTACTAAATTCATATTCTTATTCTTATTTTGAAATAATATTTTTTAATTTAACTTTGCGTTATCCCAGGAATTTTGAGAACAGTGTTTGCAGTGTTGTTCAGTGGATTTGTTGCATGGGGTTATCAGGCAATTCACCCTCCTCCTCCAAAGTTATGTGGCTCTCCCAGTGGTCCCCCTATAACAGCACCCAGAATCAAACTAAAAGATGGAAGGAATTTAGCATACAAAGAGCATGGTGTTCCAAAAGATGCAGCCAATCATAAAAATCATCTTTGCTCATGGTTTTGATGCTTGCAGACATGATGCCTATGTTGAACCTTATCAAATGTACTTGTTTATGTTTATTTTCTGCTTTCATAACATTCTATGCTATCTTTGACAATGTATTATCTAAATTTGTGGTGGGATTTTTCAGGATGTTGCTGAGGACTTAGGGGTCTACATTGTATCTTTTGATAGACCAGGGTATGGGGAAAGTGATTCTCATCCAAATCCGACAGTGAAGAGTCTGGCACTAGATATAGAAGAAGTTGCGGATAAATTGGGATTGGGGTCCAAATTCTACGTAATAGGTTTCTCCCTTGTGGGCCAGCTTGTTTGGAGGTGCCTTAAGTACATACCTCACAGGTATGAAGCATTCAGGTTTGAGGTAATTCCGTTGGTCTAAAAAAGAACATTCCTTGGTTCTTTTTCTGTTTTTGCTTGTAAATGTTTGTGTCTTTTGATTGAACTTGCATTTTAGCTGTGTAAACTATTCAAGGGCGTTTTGGTGTTAAGATACATCTGAGATTTTCCGTTATATAATTTTTTTTTTTAATTCTGTTGGCCTTCAGAAAACATTCAACATGATTTTTTTTTCTTCTAAACATTATTGTGAAAGCATTCAACATGATTTTTTTTTTTCTAAATATTTGAGATCATATGGTAGTTTTTGTGTTTCTGTGGAAGAACCCATCGTCCATATCAAAGATCTGAACGGAAGATCTTATTTATATCTTATATGCAAGATGGAAAGATCCTACAATAAAAATGTTTATTACGCAGAATTTTGATGATCCAGCTGCCTCCATACAGAAACTTTGAATGAATATTAACTTCAAGTTTCCTAGTCCATTAGACTAGACTAAGTGCCAAAAACTTAGGTTGTCAAATTGAGTAGGGGAAGTTGTGCTTCTCTATGATATCAAATCTAACTGGGAGCTGAATTTGCAAAAAATTTGCAATGGAATCAACTTTGGGTTCACACGCATCCCTCGTGTTGATGGATAGAATTTTGTTGGCAATGAATTCTTGAGAAACCAAACCACGACTCTCCCCACTCTGAGGGAAAAACACTAAGAGGAGTAATTTTACCCTGAGTGTATTTTTGCAGTAAGTCACTGTCTAAGAAAGGTTATTTAATATGGGTTAATATAACCTGTAGGAATCAACATAAGTAAAAGAAGTTTTGAATCCTTCTTGACTATAAAATCTAACATATTAAGAATTGATATTTATTGATTAAAAGAAAATAATTAACAGAAGTTTATGTAAATTTGGTTAAGTTTTAGAGGTTCATGGTATTTAACAGGTTGTAACAAGAGAAATGAAATTGTCAACTACTATGTCATGTGTATTTTTTTATTACAGTGATATAAAATTTCAATGGTGACAGGTTGGCAGGTGCAGTGCTAATAGCCCCAGTTGTGAACTACTGGTGGGATGGTCTTCCTGAAAACTTAACAAGTGAAGTCTTCCACCAACAAAAACTACAAGACCAGTGGACACTCGTGTTGTTCACTACATGCCATGGTTAACTTACTGGTGGAACACTCAAACATGGTTTCCATCATCTACTTTAATTGCTGACAGTATAGATCCTCTTTTGGCTAAGAGGAAAGATCGAAAGAATCATGTGGTATGTATCTGACTTATACACTGAAACTCATCTAACTTCATACTTTTTATTTGTTGTTAGCTTGATTCAATCCAATTGATTATATTAGTATAGGTGTAGATGCAACACTTTTAGGAACTTTTTAATTTTATAAACACCCTTTAGTAAGGTCACTTCCTTCTAAATTTCATTGCTAAGTTAAAGACCTGTGAGATGGATTCATTTGATATATAACTGATATATTGTACTCTAATTTCTGACTAACCTCATTACAATCTATAGAGCCGTGGAGTAGACTTATCTGATACATGGTTCCAAAACTTCACAAAATTCACAAGAGTTTTATAATTTATTTGCACAGCAAAGATTTAGATTCTATTTTTATGTGACTTCAACATGCAGGGTCAGGTAAGACAGCAAGGAGAGCATGAAAGTGTCCACAGAGACTTAATTCTTGCTTTTGGTAGTTGGGAATTTAGTCTTTGGATCTGGAAAATCCATTTCCAAATAAAGAAGGCTCTGTTCATATTTGGCAAGGAGATGAAGATTTGAATAGATTCATAGTTATGCTTCTCAATTTAATTAGAATGTATTCATTATATAACTATTGCACTGTCACTCAACTACACGTGTGTTAACTATTATGACAACGATTTAACTTAACTGCACCATTTACTCTTTTATACAATTTAACACCTATTTCTAAGAAACTTATGTATGTTGTCCATTTTTTTTATTTGAACATTCATTGCTATTATAGTTAGACATGGATCAGTAAGTGAAGTGGTGTTGATGAATAGTGACACCAAAATTTAAGAGTTCATAACAAAAGGAACTATTAAATTTTTAACAATGATAATAATATTAAAGGTGATATTTTAATCCCTGATAGTTTGTTTGTCTTGTACTAGCAAAAATAATCTTATAAACATTATATCATATAAATCCAACCAAAATAATCTATCCTATAATATTATTATATTTAAAATGATAATATATATATATATATATATATATATATATATATATATATATATATATATAACTAGAAACAAATCATGCAACGGAGACCACATCATCAAAAGAAAATATTCTATCCTATTAAAAGTGTTAAATTCATCAGATAAATTAAAATTTAATAAATAAAAAATTAGTTCAGCTATTCTCTGCTGGGGTTAAATTAAAGCAGAGAGTGACCATACGAAACAAAATTTTCTCAGATTCAATGATTTACTTTCTTTTATTTGATATTAGACACACTCCTAAAAATTTTATATTTTATAGAATTTTTTTTTGTGAGTATTATAAAATTTAATATAATTTTTTATAGAAAAATTTGCATAATATTTATTTTACATAGTTTTTTATAAAAAAGAATTCTAATAAGATAGAATGTATAAATTGTAAGTTGCAAAAAATATTAATATTGTTAAATTCTATACACTAAAAAAAAAGTCTATTATCTACAAAATATTAAACTGAATTGTCACTAACAAGAAAAAAAGTCTATTATCTACAAAATATTAAACTGAATTGTCACTAACAAGAATCGAATCCAAGTATCTTAAAGTTGAAAACTGATACTTCAACCACTAAGCTATTAAGATATTCTAATAATAATTTACAAATAAATTATAGTTATATTTATTCGTGTAAATATATAAATATATAAATACATAAATACATAAATATAAATATATAAATACATATAAATATAAATATATAAATATATAAATATATAAATATATAAATATATAAATATATAAATATATAAATATATAAATATATAAATATATAAATATATAAATATATAAATATATAAATATATAAATATATAAATATATAAATATATAAATATATAAATATATAAATATATAAATATATAAATATATAAATATATAAATATATAAATATATAAATATATCAATATATAAATATATCAATATATCAATATATCAATATATCAAAATATAAATATATCAAAATATAAATATATTTATATTTATATATTTACACGGATAAATATAAATATAATTTATTTATAAGTTATTATTAAAATATCCTAATAAGCTTAGTGGTTGAAGTATCAGTTTTCAACTCTGAGTATCTAGGTTCAAATCCTGTTAATGGCAATTTTATTAATCTAATAATAATTTAAAGTTCCAAAAATATAATATAAAGGGGAGGGGTCAATAAAAATATTTTGTTTAAGTGAGTGCGCATTAGTGATAATCAATAATTTTTTAAAAATTATTCTCTAATGTCCTCTTTTTTTTATTATTATTGTCAATAAAAATTTACAAAATTATATACGCATTTTTTTTCATTTTACTTTCAGAATTTTAGTTAGTTTTTATTTTAAATCTAAGTTAAGTAATGAATATATAATTAAGATTTATTAAAATTAATGAAAAAAAATCCAAAAATTAGATATTTATTTTTGTGTTGACATGATATTCGAATTAAATATTGTAATAATTTTAAAAGAAAAAATTAGTTGTGATTGGCTAGTTTAATTCTATCATTGAACATTTTCACTTTTTTTCTTGATTTTAGCGGAAAAAAATTGTTAATATATTATTTTAATACTAAAATAAAACGAATGTCTTTTTTTTTTTTTTGAAGTTAGTAATCCTAGAATAAAATATAATACACAATTATATTAAAGAATCATTTGTGATGTGAAAATATTATAAAAAAATTCACGCAAATAATATTGTAAAAATTAAAAAATTGAAAGAAATACGTGTTGTGTTGAAAGGATACGTTGCATAAAACATGTCCATGCTAACGACACCTGTTTTATACGTGTCAAATAATGTGACCTACTGGGAAAATATTTCTGTCTATTGCAGTATCTTACAATTATTTTTTTTTTTAATTATTTAATGTCTTGTTTTGTAGGAGTACCCTGAGCTGGAATGAACCATATAGAAGAAGAGGATCCTTTAAGTTGCAGGGTACAGTGTTCCTTGCATGAAGCACTTTTTAAGTTTGTGTTGTGTTTAAATAAATTTGAACACACCCTCACAAACTGAACAGAAACATCGATCTATAAGGTTTGCGACAGCTAAAAGGAACTTGATCAGAAGTTATACCAGACTCAAATTCGAATTTCAATTTGCAGGTATCTGTTCATACTGTGTTTCTGTCTATTATATTGTTAATCAATTTCCATTTTGTTTTCATGAATGTTTTTAGAGTTTAGATTAATTGTTAATATGTAACATTTAGATTTTTTTTTATCACATTCAATTTTTTATTTTTTTGTTCATGATGCATGTCATGGTTTTCTGATTTTTCATCATCTTTCAGACCTTGCTTAACTATGTCCTGTGTATGAAATTTGAACCACCATCAAAAGAGGAAAGTATTTCAAACATTAATTTTTCTATTTAGTATCCCACCTTAATAATATTCCGTAGATATTTTCATCTAAAATTTCATACTTAAAAGTCGAAAATAGCAATTTAATATTGTTCCAGCATCAAGTTTCCATGGGCAGTGCCTGTGTATGAAAAACACTGAATTTTTTCACTGAAATTCAGTGGAATGAGAATCAACATTATCTTCATGGAGTAGCCATGGATAATTTTAAATAATGTAATATTATAGTATGAAAAGCATCTTGTTCCACCAAAAGTTAGAAAAATGAACTAATTGAACGGTGGTCCACCAATCCCACGTGAACTAACTTAACTCACCAATTCAAACTAAATATATCTAAGATTATAATGTATTTCACCTCAGATTAATTAACTTAGAGGAACTGAACTAAATGTTATATGAAATATATTCAATATGAAAAAGTATTTTAAACACATAAATTGGTTTATATTAATTTTGTTTATAATTGCGTGATGTATTTTGAGATGTCTACATAACAAATAATTAAAATAGGTGTCTTCATGCATTTTTTGTATTTATTTTTTCTTAATTAGTCGTCGTTTATGTAATATAAATAATATTATAACAACATAGGCCATATCAATAATTCTTATCTACATTGCAGCGTTAAGAATCCTTAGCGTTCTTTGTTGTATTATGTATATTATTTTCTCAAACTTACATTTGTGTGTTACTCATCTTTATCTCTTACAGCAAGAAGAAAAAGAAATGGTGGTTGAGGAGGGTGAGATGAACTCCCAAGGGGAGGCGGAATCTAGATTCCAACAAGATGCCAACAAGAACCACAATTCTCCATTCTCACCATCATCCATTGGAAGACAAACATCAATATACTCCCTCACACTGGACGAGTTCCAGCACAGTCTATGTGAGACTGGCAAGAACTTCGGCTCCATGAACATGGACGAGTTTATCAGCAGCATTTGGAACGCTGAAGAGAACCAAGCCATAATAACCTCCTCCAACGTCCCTATTTCCCAACCCTTCATAGACAGAGACACGATAACAACAACAATAAGGAAACAACCAAGCCTACCTCGGCAACCCTCACTGTCTCTCCCTGCCCCTCTCTGCAGGAAAACCGTGGACGAAGTTTGGTCCCAGATTCAGAAAGAACAACACAATAATAACAACAACAACAACAATGTTATGAACAATACCGAGTCTGCCCCTCGCCAACCCACTTTTGGTGAGATGACTTTGGAGGACTTTCTGGTCAAGGCTGGGGTGGTTCGGGAGCCACCATGTGCACCACCACCGTTGCCTCATCACTCTCACCACCTCCAGCAGCAGCCGCAGCATTACACGAACAACAACGGTGCAATGCCCGGAATGGGTTCTTCTTTTGTAGGTAGGAATGTTATTGGTGCAGTGAGTAACGTGGTTGCACCGGGTTACCACGTGGCGGAGGCTTCTGGTGGGTATGCTGGAAATGGTAAGAGGGATGGTGGTGGGGGGTTTCATCAGCAAGGAGTTTGCTTTGGAGGGAGTGGGTATGGGGTGGGTCCCACCATGGGAATGGGTGGGCCTGTGAGTCCAGCTAATTCTTCTGATGGGATAGGTAATGATTGTGGGCAGTTTGGGCTTGAGATGAGTGGTTTGAGAGGTAGAAAGAGGATGGGTGATGGCCCTGTGGAAAAGGTGGTGGAGAGGAGGCAGAGGAGGATGATCAAGAATAGAGAGTCAGCTGCCAGATCTAGAGCCAGGAAACAGGTGCATGTCTCTTTTTATCACTGCACTGTCGTCTTGATTATCTTGATGTAGATATTCTTTTAGACACATTCATTTATTGGTTGAAAAATCATAAAAACTATGTCTCACATCTTGTAGTATGCTGCAAAAGAAGTGTATTGTTTCTTCCCACCCCCGCCTAGAATTGTTGTATTCAGTTTGTGTTCTTAATGTGAGGGGACTAAGGATTGGATTGGATTGGATAGTTGATACATATCATTCATATATGAACTACTGAACACAACATTAGTCTAGGAAGAATTGATAAAGTATCACTATTTTTTAAGTCATTGCATCAAAATTGGATACAGCAAGTTTATTTAAGAATCTGTCCTCAATGTTCGCCATTATCATACACTATGATCGATAGTTTTTCGCAACAGTTTTCCCCTTGAACTATGTAACTAGGATTGGCACGTGACAGGTTCAAATCACCACCACCAGCAGGCTATCAAGTTGATCAGCTACTTTTAAAATTCTATCAATTAAATTTTTTTTTTTGACTTGGCTTAGATTTAGATTTGTAAATGAAGGACCACGTAGCTACTAGTCTATGAGGTTCGCTGTGTTTTTTCATCTTATTGCATAGATTGAATTGATTGCAGATAAATATGAGAAGGAAAAGTAGATTCCCCATATTAGTAACCTGAACATTTGCATAATGCATGAATCTCTCTATATATAGGTAGAGATTGTTTAGGCACCATGTTAGATGATCAGGGGTAAGAAATTATTGGAAGAAACTTGGACAGGAAATAGATCAAACATGTCCTATATTACTAGGGACTCACTTTCAATAACATTATAAATATCATGTTCTTCGATTACTCCTCATGCGAATTCAGACCAACAATGGTGCTGAAAGTACGCCAGGAGGAAGATATATTTTAAACTTGGACAAAGTAACATATTTTTCATTTTCTGGAAAATGAGGAAGAATTGTATCAAGCTTCGTTTGCAGAACCTTATACGGTTTTTGCCTTGGCAGGCATACACAGTTGAATTAGAAGCGGAACTAAACCAATTAAAAGAAGAGAACGCCCAACTGAGACAAGCGCTGGTACTGCCAAATTTCGTTTACTTATGCAGAATATTGAAAGTTTTCAACCATTTTTGTTAGGTATAGGCAATTCAATTACACTGACAAAGATCTTGCTTTTATTCTTCAGGCCGAGATCGAGAGGAAAAGAAAGGAACAGGTAATCACTAATTAATGATGATCTAATTAACTTCTAGTTAAAAATTCACGTTTAGGGTAGAAAAGCTTTGGGGTAGCATGATATCCTTTCATATTTCATGACCATTATATGAGACAGACAGTAACTCGATTGCTAAGACTGTAATTTAATATGCCTTTTTATTTCCCGTGACAAAACTCACTTGTTATGTAGAAATTTGCCATATATAGGATCTGAGCTAGTGGTGACACCACCCTTTATTTGAAGCAAATAACTTAGAACCATGTCTAAATTAGTATTTTGTGATTACTTGCTGCAGTGTTTGGAAGAATCAAACAATATTAGAGTTCAAACCAACGCTCAGAAAGTGAAAGAGAAGCTGAGAGCTTTGAGAAGGAACATGAGTTCTCCTTGGTGAAGAAACTGCATATGGTGACCAGAGAAGTCCTTGAAATTTTGAACGCACCGGAGATTGTTGACTTGTATGACTAAATTAGAAAAAAGTCAACGACAAGAAGAAAACTACTTAAGTCATAGCCAGTTGAAGAAACAAAGAAACAAAAGGACGGGGTTTATGAATTTATTAATAAAGCCAAGCTGCAAGAGTCCTCAAGTTCAAGATCAACGAGAATTGGATCATCCAATTCGTATGACTCATCTTATCAAGTGAACACTAGTTAATTTCTCAGATGTACAACGCTTTTGTATTATTGATGTGTACGCCTTTGTTTATGCATATCAAACCCCTTTTTTTAGGTTGTTATATATTTTCGGTATAAAAATATTTTGGCAATTAATCAAAATTTGTTGTTCATTTTATGATAATTACTATAAAATTTAACTTCTTATCATGTGTTTTTGCTTTATTTTTTTTTATTTTTTTTTATGAATTTTTTTTTTTTTGATAAAGGGTTGAATAGTGCTTAAACGAGCCTGTGCTTTAGGGAAATTTATTTTTCATGCACGGAGTGGGTGTACAATAGATCATAATATGGTTCAAGGGGGCAAATACTTTGTTTTATCACAAAATGACATTTATTCCAATCACTGTGCATAAATATAATTTTCTTTTTTTCATGTTTTGGACACAGGACAAAACCATCATGCTTTAGACTAATGATTCCTCTTTCAGAAGAAACAGCAAACATTTACAACGCAATAATATTCGAGAGCAGAAAAAAAGTAATAAACAAATGAACGAAGGAATTGTGATGGAAACTGAAATTCAATCTTATAAACAAAGAATTTATAACTTTACAATTGAAGAATTCTAGTGATTCGAAGACAGAAAACAAAAAGAACACATGGGGCATGCATGTTGTATCTTTCATTTTGACAGGGATTAAATTAGTGCAACAGAACACACTACTCATATTCAAACTCAAATTTTACATGTCCATATTTTCTTCCAAGTTGAATAATGAATTCAGAGAATCTGGCGAGAATTTGACACTCTTCATGTGTTTTTACCTCTGAAACATAACCATAAATGACCAATTTTTTCAACCTGGGACATCCTTCCAAAAGTCCAGCCACCCATACTGAGAAAAGATCACTGATTACAGTCCATCCAAGTTCTAACACCACCACATTCATCAAACAAGACAAACCCTGCAAGCTATAATGAAACATTCCATCTCTTAAATCATAACTTAACGACAACTGCTTCAATTGAGGAAAACAAACAGAAATAGTCTCTATATCAACAACCTCATCCTCATCATCAAAAACAACACCCCACAGCCGAAGCTTATATAACTTTGATGCTTTTGAGATCATATGGTAAAATTTTGGCCACATGATTGTGAAGTTACAGACATCTATAATCTCAAGGTTCTCTGTAGCATCCCCAATATCAAAATGGATAATACTCACATCATCAATTTTCAACGCTTTGAGTGTCCCCTTTCCAACCAGCTCAAAAACCTCAAAGGTACAATCTTTCAAATGAAGTTTCTCAAGCAAATCTACCTCGACTATAAACTTATCCCAACTAAACAATTCAAGGTAGAAATTCCTCAAAGAAGGACTGGTAAGCTCCAAAGAAACCTGAGAATCTGACATTGCAATCTCTGGACTAACCATAGCAAAGGTTTCAAGCTTTGGACAAGAAGACAACAAAAGGATCAAATCCAATGCCGAGATGCTAATGAAACTCAACGAAAGCGACTTCAAGCAAGGAAACTTCAAATAACCTGGCTCAACACCCATGATGGAATTGCGAGTCAATGTCAACACCTCCAATCTATGTCTGCTGCATTTCTCAATGATGTTGAAACTAGGGGTAGTCCTCACATTGTAGTGCAATCCGCGCAAGGAATCCCTAGTATACATAAACCAAGCAATGACGGGGGCAGCAGAGAATTCACGCTCATCATCCATGAAGATGGTCAAAAACTGCAGTGCCTTGGTTTGAAAAATCGTCTGAGTGATGATTATTTCCAACCTAGAAGAGGTATAGTCATGATAGAGACGACAATCACAGATATTGAATGAAAGACTCTGGAGGTGACTGCGCCGTGCTTCCCTCCATTTCTTGCAAGTTGCAGAAGCAACCACAACATCCCGGGCAGAACCAAGAAGAGACAATATGTTCCCAATCACTTCAACAGGAAGGTGCTCCATAGTAGTACAATTAAACAAATTAACAGAATTAACAAATACCGAACCACATCATCAATTTCAAAACAGTCCAATCCAATTTATGAGAACCTCTGCAGTACATCAAGATTTCACAAATTAAACTTAATTGAACAACAACAACAACATCATAATAATAATAATAATAATAATAATAATAATAATAATAATAATAATAATAATAATAATGATAATACTAATAATAATAATAATAATAATATCAATACTCGCAATAAACAAAATCAGGGACAAGGACACTACACAGTAAGTGATGGGAGTGACTAAGGCCAGAAAATAGGGTTAGGAAGCTAGCATTGAATTGAATAGGCAAATAGGAGAAACACTGAGTTTAAGATAAAGGATTGAAGAACTCACTCGGTGAGTGAAAGGATCGTGTTCTTAGCGTAGAGAATTTGGAAATCGAAGACTGATAACATCCAAATTTCGCGCCGCAAAATTTGAGAGTGAGGACCTACCTCTCCCTAGACGAAGGAAATTCTTTTTGTTACATGGGAGAGTGGCTCTTCAAATCGTGTGCAGGCTTGTTGCACGTGTTAGCAACTTAACCTACCCACAGGCTCTTCAAATTGAAGACTGAATATGTTATACACAATCTGTTACTGATTTTCAAAACAGGTTCAATTTTTATTGTTTAGTGTTTATCTTATTAAAATTACTTCCTAAAATAGGTTTTATTTTTCAGTGTTTAAAAGACTAAATAAATCAAAATTGATAAAATATATTTCGGAAATTATTGTTTAAAATACTTTTCAATTTTTTTCAATTTTTTAAAACTAAAAAATTTGCTTGATAATTATTTTAAGATATATTTATGAGTTTTCTTATTTTAAGCATTTACTTTTATTTTATTCATTTAAATATTATTAGTTAAAATGAATAATCTCAATTCAAATTTGATTTGAATTTAAAAAACTCACTATATCAAGTAGAAGAAAATACAATAAGTAAAGATTACAAAAGAATTAACTGATTTTAATAACTAAAAAGACGAGTCCAAATATTCTAAATTCATATATTGATCGGGTAATGGGTAAATCTTGGAATATTTACTTGTTTTCTTTATTCATTTTCTATATAAATCACTTTACTCTAACTACCATTTTTATTTGTCCATGCAGCAAAAAATTTAGTAAAGTAATTTGTCAACACCCGATAAAAGATATCATAAGAATCGTGTCCCCCAAAAATGTATAATTTAACATTTTTCATTTCATAAAGCATCTCGTGCCATTATATTTATTGTCAAGTCATCATTCTTCTAAATGTGAGATACATATATAAAAAATAATGTGAATACAAAAACTACATGCAACTTTTGTTTCCCTCGGTCCCAGCTGTTGTAGCTTAAGGCTAATACCATTCCACCATAAATGATAATTCGTAATAATTTAGTGAAAGCCTAATATTTAATATGACCAAAGAATTTTAAGAAAAGTTGCTTCAACTCTGAATGCGCTGAATGAAATATTTAAACTTAACTGAAATTATTTCCATGATACTGCTACCTAGACACTACAATTTTCATGATTTAAAGAATTTTACATTATGAATAAGAATCATCAGAACAAATGATGTTACAAATTGTTGAAGTCAACCTTATTAGCTTCAGAGAACTCGTATACTGAGACCAGGTCAGTACCCAGCATCCTCTTGTTCCGAAGACCAAAAGCTCTCGCTTTCTTTGTTCAGAATTGTAGAAATCCATTAGTTGTACTTGTATGTCTATCAATTAAGTCGTGAAAGGACTATTTCATAACTTTGAGGATCCACAGCAAGTCGAATTTTTAACCATTTCATGACTTAGAAGACCCACTACTGCCTGTTGTCATGAAAGATTCACCACAACCACACTGACCTTTAGAATTTGGATTGACGAAAATAAATTCCGATCTGACGGGAGAAGAAAAGAAGTGTAGTGATTAAAATAAAAGCACTGAATACAAAAAAGCAGTTGACATTACGAAAAAATGATAGGAAAAAAATAGATGAACCAAGCAACAAAAACGAGCACAACACAATAACTTGACAGTAATTTTCATGCCAATTCATCAATAGCATCCTTCTGTGATGCAGACATTTTTTCTACATATATTTGAGATAGGAAAAACTTTAATCATTGTCGGAGCTAAGCATACCACGTAACACAAAAGAGTAACGGAGGTGGTATATAGTTTGTCACAAGCAGATCAATTCCCAAATACGAAGTTCCTAAATAGAAGCTAAATAGATACATTCCGATGAAGAGAATCATATCAAACTAATGTCTTCTAAAGCTTAATATATATATATATATATATATATATATTCAATATTTATAAATTCTAATAATGAAATCATGTCTAGATTCAATTCTTTACCAAAACAAAGTTCAAAGAAAGGAATAGATCATGAAATGGAGTAGGAATAAGAGTAGAAATAAAAGATTACGACCAGAGGTAGCCCTCTCTGTAGAGACTTAAATTGAATAAAAAAAGACAATACCCAAAAAGAAAGAGTAGCAAGGGAAAATCTTCTGTCAAATCAGACTACGAATTAGTATGAAACAATACAGATCAAGTTTCATACAAGCAGAAGTATCCCTATGTGAGAATGAAATCACAGATAACGCATGAAACTAAAGAAAATGAAATCTGAACTCATTCAGATAATCGGATTACAGAATATCCGACCCCTTCAAAACCTCACTGGCATACTCAATTTTTGCCTATATACCTCTCTTCCTTTCCCGTTCTTATCTCAACCTCCTTTCTCCCTATACAGGTAAAGTACCGCAATTCCCTTCTAATAGATCAAAGTTTCTATCAGATAAATAGGCTTAATCATGTTGATTAATCCCAAGAGATAGTGAAATAACATAATACAACATAGCGGAAAAATCCTCCCGTTGCCAAAATATAATTCCAACTTGTAATAAAGTTAATTATGGAGATTTAACATTAGAAAACGAGCAAGGGTAGACATAACATTGTTGAAGTAATAAGGAGGTATTAGGAAATCACGTAACAATGATATTCACGCTAAAATTTGGAGCAAGTTCAAGTTATACAAATTATGACAAGGAACTACTCCTAATAGATCAAAGTCATTTGTTCCAGGAGAATAATAGAATGTCGCTAATTACCAAGATAATGGGTGATTATTAAAAGTTATTGGGGATCGGGAGGGACTTCAAGGTGACAAACATTGTGTAAGTAGGAAATAATGAGGAAAGCGCCCATTATTAACAAGCTAAGCTCGTCATTCTCCCTCATTTTCACCTCCAAGTAATTGATTAAATAGAAAATTCATTCATTTTTTTCTTTTTCATGCGCACCAAGAAAGAGAATGAATAAGCTTCGAAGTAACAAATTATCTTGCAAGTCCCTCTCACGGGAAGAAAGCTACAAAAGTAGATAGAGAAGTAAAGATTACAAGATACTAGCTAATTCAAGTAGAGGGGTCAGCCCTGGCTATGGGACATTCAGGTGTTAGTAGAAGAAAGGAGGCTTCCTAGCAAATTGGATGAGTTAATTCTTTGAGATTAATTGAACGGATGTATTTAGATGAAACTTGCTGGGTGTGTATGTTATGTGCGCAGTAAGAACATATTTTGCAAGTGATTTAAACTCTGTAAAGGGCACGTTTTGCATGAGGAGAAAGTTTTGTGATGAGAAGATTTCATACAGAGTAACATGTGTTTAATCTATATCTGCCACAAGCTTTGAATATATTTGTTTTTGAGTCACAATTCCTGCACAACTAATATATTTTGTGACATTATGACCATATTCGTCCACAATAGACTAATTATGTGGTTCTCCTTAACAATAACATAATATAGTTACTTACCTAAGCATTCATACACATTAATACAAAGATTGATGATATCTTTTATAAACTAAATTCCCCTAAAAATGATTCTATATGTATTTTGGAAGTAATCAAGTATCATTTGATGATTAAATTACATCATTCGTGTCGAGTTTCAGTTCTAAGATAAGTTTTCAAATTTACCTACTAGGACACATAGTTTGTAGTTCCATGCTCTTCTATATTAGATATACGGTAGAGAACAATCATTAAGATCAATTAGAACACAAATACATCTAGAAGTATTCAATTACAAGTACCCAAATAACAAGCTCAAACATCTGATCTACTTTCGTTCATGTGCTATCATGTCATATTGAGTTCAATTTGAACTGCCAGAACCAGAATAGACAAAAATCCCTAATATCAACTTTGAATGAGACTTAATACTAAAATATTTTCGAATTTACAGCCAGAAAATTGGCACAGCAGATTCAATTCACAAGACTAACAAATGCATTGGTTATTAAAAATATGAATATTTTCTAATTTCAGAAAACACCCACGGAAACTGTATACTTGGTAGAGGATGAATTTCTACATCCGAAAAACAACCAGCAGAAAAGGCTAAGCAATCAACAACTGATCTTGATGTAGATGAAGCAGTTTAAAACAATAATCTTCACATATCAGTTTCCCAATTCCCAACGAAAACTGCTTATAGAGAGAGATTTATCATCCAGTATCAAAACACAATACAATAAACAAAAATAGCAAAGCAAAAGAAAATACAAGTTAATCATGAAGAAAAGGTGTTAAGAGAAACATTTACCTCAGTTTGTCATCCACAAAATCCATTTTAGTTCCAATGACATGCATAAGGGCCTTTGGATCAATCAATATCTTAACACCCTTATCCTCAACCAACTCATCAAACTTTCCTTTTTCATCTGTCAAAAATAACAGGAATCTTAGATCAAAAGTCATAACTCATAATGCAATAATGCATCCACCTCGAGCTCACCACAAAAATAGAAAATTCCCAATAGTATTAAACTTCTATCCATGTTACTGATATTTAGCACATGAGATTTTTATGTGAGAATATGTTAACACCAAAGGTCAATTTTGCTTATTTACCTTAGCATTTGACATACCTCAATGTATGATTTTGACTAATGGTATATTAAGAGTTAATTAATCACGGGGGGAATATCTTCTAAACTTTAGTCAAGTAACAGTAAGACAATGGAATGCAAGTTTCATAAGAGACAGGTTAGCAACTTTTTGGTGGTGAAATAAGAAAAGTTTAAAATGTTTTAACATTTAATAGAGCTCCATGGTGTTGAATGATGCACGCCGCAGACTTTAGCCAGTGGATTTAAGGCCTTCTTGTTGATTGTTGTCATCACTTACATTCATCGTCTTAGTAGTTAGGCCGGTATGACTTATTTCATCATCTCAGATGTGACTTCCAAATTTACTTCCTCATTTCAATCATCCATAATTCTTATTTCAGCAAACAATGAATTAAGCATTTTGACGCTAGTGTACGTAAACGCGGTATGTATATGAAACCAAAGACACAAAACATCCAAAGAAATATGAAAAATGACAAGAAAACTACACTGAAAATCAGCTAACTGTTCATCTAGTTTCAGAAAATGATTAGATGCGATCTCGAAGACGTTAATCGTTGAGCATGTGATAAAAATCGAGAAGAATCGGTCATTCACAAGCACCAATGCAAAATTGCTCGAAAAGTAAAGCACTACGCTCGTAGAATACTCCTTTCGAAAATTAAAAAACCGAATGGATTCAATCCTATACGTGAGAAAGGTAATTAAACGAGTATAAGCTAAATCTTTTAGAATCAACTCCTATGATTAAACCGCAGGAATGCATAATCAAATTGAATTCAGCTAACTTATTAGAGAGAAATTGTTCCGCAAATCTAGAAGATATATGATATTATATATGAACGAAAAAAGTTAGAGAGACCTGCGTAATTGAGGGTGTAGGATAAGCCGTTACAGCCGCGAGCCTTGACTCCGAGCTTCAAGAAGGGCCTCTGACGCTGCTGTAGCAGGTGCCGTATTCGCGAAGCGGCAGCGTCCGTCAGCGACACCGCTTGGCGGCGCGCCGCCGCCCCTACCTTCTCCGCTGCCACGCTCATCGCCTTCGAAGCCATCGAAGATGAACTATATCTGTCCCGTTGTTTTGGGATGGTACCCCTCTTTTTCAGGTTTGGCGCGTGGCCAACACGTTGTGGCTATGCTATGCTACGCGTAGAACGTCCTGATGAAACCTATGCTGTGTGTTTATGTGGTGTGGCCTAATTACATTGGTCTGTGTTACCTCTCGGTAATTTATCAAATTTCGTAAAGTTCTTGCAATATACTACTGTGTTAAGAAAATGTAATAATATATTTGACTTACAATTATGTATTAGCATTAACAACTAATAATAATTATAAAAATAATAATAACACCATATTAATATTTTTATTATTAGACAAATTATATACACCAATAATTCAAATAATATTATATTTACCTTGTTGAGATTTAAGTCAAAATATATGGGCTATGCATGGGGCATGAATACCTATATGAGATTTATTTTCGCGTTTTTTGTTTAGTCTGTTACTTCTATTCTCAGTGTATATAAACATCATAGTTTTCATAAATCAATAATATTTCATATATCAATAATATGAGAAAGTTTTCATTCTCTATCAATAGCTCTCTCATTTACATGGTATCAAGAGTTCTTTACGGTCCAAGGACGTGAGTTTTGTGTGCCTGCAACCAAATCAGACGTTGTGTGTGGTGCAGTTTAGTGAGAGTGCATTTTTCCAACGAAGTGGAAAGAGTGGTGTCTTGGTTTGTAATCAAGAAATGTTATTGTGCATTCTTGATCTGGTCTGTGGTGTAGCATGGCCGATATGGGTGAGATGATACAAGGGGGTCTACCTATCTCTGATGGTAGCATGTTCAACGATTGGAAGATTAAGATGAATGCGATCTTCATCTTTCAAGATGTGGTTGAAGTTGTTGAGCATGGTGTTTCACCACCGGGTGCGAAGGCTACTGAGGATGATAAGAAGACTTACAAGATTCAACAAAAGTTAGATGGTAAGGCAAGGTACTTGATCTATCAATGTGTTAGTTCACCGATCTTTAATAGGATTTTCATGGCGGGCACAGCCAAAGAAGCATGAGATATCTTGGTGGCTACGTATGGTGCGGGATATAAACATAAGAAAGTGAAGTTGCAGGCTCTGCAAAGGCAATTTGAGTTCTTTATCATGGAAGAAAGTGATTCGGTGGTTGGGTTCCTCAACAAGGTTCAAGAACTTGTTAACGACATGTGTTCTTGCGGTGACAAAGTGTCTGAACAAAATATCGTGAACAAGGTTTTGCGATCACTTCCTGCAAGATTCGATCATCTTGTAATTACCATTGAAGAGACGAAAGATTTGGATGCACTGACCTTCCAGGAGCTGCAACATTCGCTCGAAGCCCACGAGTTGCGCATGTCTGAGCGGAGATCCTATCAAGAGCAGGTTCTTCATGCAAGAACGAATGGAAAGCAGAAAAGAGATTCCAAGAAAGGAACTAAGACAAAGAAGAAGGGAGACTCGGATTAGCAGAAGAACAAAGACCAGAAACAAAATTCTGGAGAAGATAAAGAGAAGAAGTATGATAAGAAAAAAGTCAACTGTTATAACTACCAAAAATCTGGGCATTATGCACGAGACTGCTGGGATGGTGACGGAGCCAAGAACAGACCAAAGAAGAATGCGCAAGTTCATCTTGTAGAGGAAGAAAATTCTGATGAAGAGGTTGTCATGTTGATGGCGAGACAGATGCGAAGCTCGACGGTGAAAATTTGTGGTACTTGGACTCTGGGTGCTCCACGCATATGACCGGGAAGAAAGATTGGTTCATGAAAATAAGTGATGTAAGTCAAGAAAAGATACGTTTCACAGATAATAGTTCTCTCATAGCAAAAGGAACTGGTAGAGTTATGTTGTGAAACAGTGATGGCAAGGACGTGATAATTGAAAATGTTCTATATGTGCCCGGGTTGAAATCAAACCTTCTGAGCTTGGGCCAGTTGATGCAAAGAGGTTTCAAGATGACACTTGAAGATAATTCCTTACGTATCTTTGATCAAACCCAGAAGCTGGTTATACATGTTGGTCTGTCCTCCAATCGAACTTTTAAGGTTAAGATGGATGCATTGAAGCACCAGTGTTTTACTGCTGTCAGTGACAGGTGTGAATGGTTGTGGCATCTCTGATTTGAACATCTTAACTTTCAGGACTTGAGAGAACTTGGACAGAAGAAAATGGTAGTTGATATTCCTCATATGTGTGTTCCAGACGAAGTATGTAGAGAGTGTATGGAGTGCAAGCAAACGCGGAACAAATTCAGTAAAGAGGTATCCTCGAAAACTTCGGAGAAACTTGAGCTAATACATTCAGATATTTGTGATCCATTTCCAGTTGAAACACCTGGGGGCAGCAAGTACTTTATTACTTTTATAGATGATTATACGAGAATGTTATGGGTGTATTGCTTGCGAAAGAAGAGTGAAGCGTTTGAAGTGTTTGTGCTGCTCAAGTCACTGGTTGAAAATCAGTATGGCAAGCAGTTGAAGAGGCTTCGTGTTAATGGTGGGGTAGAATTCAACTCTCTTGAATTCAAGAATTTTTGTGTTGAAAATGGAATAGCTCATGAGGCAACACCACCATATACGCTGCAGCATAATGGTACCGCAGAAAGGAGGAACCGTACTCTATTTAACATGGTAAGGTGCATGCTTAAAAGCAAGGGTGTTCCAAAATATCTTTGGGGAGAAGCGGTTTCAACTGCTGCCTATATTTTGAATCACTCACCAACAAAGAAGCTTGATGGTATAACACTAGAGGAAGTCTGGTCTAGTCAGAAACCAGATGTAACTCATATGAGAGTTTTTGGATCTCTTTGTTATCACCGCATTCCAGATCAAACACGTAGCAAACTTGATGACAAAGGTTCTATGACAGTCTTGATTGGTTATCATGTAACAGGCGGCTATAAATTGTTTGATCCAAACTCTCAAAATGTAATCATATGCAGAGACGTGGTGGTTGACAAAGGCTCGTGTTGGAACTGGCAGGAAACGAGTCAAGAAACTCAATCAGGTACAACACCAACAATTTCACTAACTAATGATGTTGTAGGTGATGTAACAGTGCAGCATGAGCCTCATGAACAAACAAGAAGATCACAGCGAGTTACTCAGCCACCTATACGTTTCAAGGATTATGAAGTTTTCAATGATCTAGCGCTAACGGAGAATGGAAATTTCGTGCATTTCGCCCTGATATTTGAGGCAGATCAAATAGAATTATATGATGCTAGTCGAGATACTCATTGGGTGCGAGCCATGGAGGAAGAGATTGAAGCCATAGAGAAAAATAAGACGTGGACACTGGTTGAACCATCACCAGACAGAAGACCAACCTCTCTGAAATGGGTCTATAAAATAAAAGCAAATCCCAAGGGTGAAATTGTGAGGTACAAAGCGAGATTGGTCGCCAAAGGATTCTTCCAAAAAGCAGGAGTAGACTATGGAAAAATCTATGCTCCTGTGGCTCGACTGGAGACTGTTTGAATCATTGTAGCAATGGCAACGTGGGAGGGTTGATCCTTCCACCAACTAGACGTAAAATCTGCCTTCTTGAATGACTATTTGGAGGAGGAAATATATGTAACACAACCATTAGAATTCATAGTAAAAGGAGAAGAGCATAAGGTATACAGGCTTAATAAGACACTCTACGGGCTTAAACAAGCTCCTAAAGCTTGGAACCATCAGATCAATCAGTTTTTGGAGAAGATTGGTTTTGTGAGATGTGTTTCCGAACAAGGGGTGTACACCAAGTGCTGGAAAGACCAAGACAGAGAAGAGAAAATGATAGTATGTCTTTATGTGGATGATATGTTATTGACTGGGAGCAAGCCAAAAGCAATTGCAGGGTAGTCTCAAATACATAGTGAATTTGAGATGAGTGATTTGGAAAGACTCAGCTACTTCGTAGGCATTGAGTTTCAGTTCACAAAAGCTGGAACTATTATGCATCAGATGAAGTACTCACGTGATCTTCTCAGCAGGTTCGGGATGAAGAATTGCAATGCTGCAGTAACTCCAACGGAAATGGGTCTGAGATTAGAAAGGGGCACTGAGGAGGAAGATGTTGATCATACAGAATTTTGCAGAATCATTGGGAGTCTGAGATACTTGTGTAACACCAGACCTGATTTGAGCTATGGTGTTGGCATTGTTAGCAGACATATGCAAAGCCCGAAAGCTAGCCATATGAATGCCGTGAAACGTATCTTACGCTATTTGCGTGGAACGTGTAATCTTTATATAATGTTTCCATGCAAGAAGCCAGGGGGTGAGATGAAATTGGTGGGATTTGCAGATGCAGATTGGTGTGGTGACAAGGAAGATAGGAAAAGCACTGCAGGTCACATATTTTACTATGGCAAAGGACCAGTGTCCTGGAATTCAGTCAAGGAACCCGTGGTGACTCTCTCCTCCTGTGAAGCAGAGTATATAGTTGTTGCACAGGCTGCGTGTCAAGCCGCATGGCTTAGGATGCTATTGAAGGAGCTGAATGCAGAATTGGTCCAACCACCAACACTGTTTGTTGATAATAAGTATGCAATAGACTTAGCTAAACACCCATCAGCTCATGGAAAAAGCAAACATATAGAAATGAGGTTTCATTTCTTGAGAGAGCAGGTTAATGATAAGAAGCTTGAAGTAGAGCACTGCATCATAGAGGATCAGAGTGCCGATATCTTTACAAAGCCTTTGAAGGCTGCTAGATTTTGTAAACTCAGAGAGTATCTGGGAATTGTTCGATTTTGACTTAAGGAGACATGTTGAGATTTAAGTCAAAATATATGGACCTATGCATGGGGCATGGTTATGGGATTTATTTTCGCGTTTTTTGTTTAGTCTCTATTCTTATTATATATAAACGTCACAGTTTCCATACATCAATAATATGAGAAAGTCTTCATTTTCTATCAATAGCTCTCCCATTTACATACCTATGATTTAACATTTAGATATGCGAATATGCTTAGCTAATTTACGTGGCATATATTACTTATTATGTGATAAAGGGGATATTTTGACATGAATTAACATGCACTTAATAAAATTTACATTTTTTAAACAATAAAACAAAATTCACTTATAATTTAATAAGTTATGTAATAATTCTATAAGGTAATTTATCTATTATATATATAAATATTTTTTTTATTGTTATAATAATCATTTAAAGTTTTTTAAACTTATTTCTAAAATAATTATTTTAAAATTATATTTTAAAATTACCTCAATAAATATCAATTTTGGATTAAGTTTATATTTAAAATAGTAATTCTTATTTATTTAATACGATTGATTTAGCATGTAATTCATTTATAATAGTTAATGAATATATGCATGAAGAGCACCTTTTTGAGTTCGTTTTAAAGAAAATATATTCTTCTACATGTATATTATTTGATAAGATTAACTAACTAAATATCTGGAATCAAATTATGATTTATTTTTTGAACTAAAGTTTTCCTTCAAAAAGAAATAGAGATAGGGAGAGGTTGTTGAAAAGAAAACCTCTGGCCGACTAGGGGTTTTCAATTCCAAAGTTGTTCTGTCCGTATATGTTCTTGGCGTTGGCACGCACAGCGCACCAAAACAAAACCCTCCTTGCGGACCATTTTCATTTCTCACTTATCAACAAAAACAAATACCTCAGAATGCAGAGAAGCTTTTTCTAAAAAAATAATTCCACTGCTCCTTTTCATTTCACCACTCAAATGCTTCTCTCACTCTCTCAAACCCCTTGAATTTTCTCAGGTTTTCTCTTCATCTAATCTCCGCAATCTTTTTCATTTACTCTTCAACTTTCACATTACCGATTCTCCCTTTTTTTCCCACTTCATCCACTTCTATTAACACGGTTGACACCACAACACTACACGAACAACACTCTCGCTTATCGCTTGACCTAATATTTTGGTGATTCCTTTTTAATATATTAATTTATTTACTTTCACAAACAGGTATAGGAAGAAGGAATTTCGAGCGAATTGCAACATTCACGTATTGAATTTACATCTGTTAATTTGTTTCGTGTATTAGAAGGCGCGAATTCCGATTCTGTGGAAATGGCTACCTGTTATGCACCTTCGAATGCTAGAAATTCAGCGGGTGTTCTGGCTGTTGTTGGAGGGAGAACAATTTCTGAGAATCACGGTAACAGATCGTTCTCTTTGAAAATCCAAGAGAGCAAGTATGTGTTTGGCAGCAGTAGAAAGTGTGGTTCGATTCAAGTGAAGTGCTCTGCGAATTCCCACAGCATTAGTCGCAAGGATCCTTTTCTGGATCTGCACCCTGAGGTTTCAATGCTTAGAGGAGAAGGAGGGAGTGCATTGAACAATCTTAGACCTAGAAAGGATGTATCAGGTGGAAACGTGGCTGAAAGTTTAGAAGCCACCATGACTCCAAGTAACCACAATGAAGCTAAGATCAAAGTCATTGGTGTGGGTGGAGGTGGGTCAAATGCAGTCAACCGTATGATAGAGAGTTCCATGAACGGTGTGGAGTTCTGGATTGTGAATACTGATATTCAAGCCATGAGAATGTCGCCTGTCATTCCTCAGAACCGATTGCAAATCGGCGAGGAGCTTACACGAGGTCTTGGCGCTGGTGGGAACCCTGAGATTGGCATGAATGCTGCCAAGGAAAGCAAGGAATCAATACAGGAGGCAGTTTATGGAGCTGACATGGTCTTTGTTACTGTATGTTCTACTAACCACTTTTCCTTAGAGATATAGCTTATCCTAACTGCATGACAGTTTTGCATTATGAATTTTATTTATATTACCATTGTCACCACTACCTTGCATGGTTTATCATATATGCGCTATTGTAGTACCAGAATCTATGTTTGTAAAATCATAACTAGTAGGATGTGGTGATGTATGTTTTCAAAGAAAAAGAAAATATGGGGTAATATGTTGTGCAAGGAGGAATACGCCAATATTCTACAAAGAGGTTATCAAGGGGCTACATCTGAGGGGGTTATACTGGTGTGGGGCTTAAATTTTTATTCTGCATGTTCCCTGTAACATTTGTTATGGTGGTATTCCAGTGCATGCATGGTCAAGTTATTTTGACGTTTGTTAGTTGACAAGTATTGTTTTGTGAACCACTTTTTACATTTCTCCAAGATGTTAAAATTTGCGAGTATCTTAGCTATATCTAATGGCTATTTTTTTCTTTTTATACTCTTGAATGGTGTTGGACTGTTAAAATATTTTTGTGGAGGATGAACATTAATGGGGATGAAACAGAGGTTTGTGCAACCAATTTCCAAAACAAAATATTGAATAATATCATCTTAAGGTAAGTTGTGACTCCAAACTCCCTCACTAAAATAAAAAGAACACCAGCTCATTCTTATAAATCAGAACTAACATGTCAAAATTGATAAAAATTCTTACAATGAATTGCAACATTTGTGGTCATAATATATCTGTTTTCTGTGAAAAAAACTATTGTACACATCAATCACCATACAGCTTAGTGGCTGATGTCTCCACTCTCATTGGAAGCTATCATTTTATGGTTAAAGGCAATTTGTCATTTTTTTTCATTTCTTTGTGAAAAAAGTATATGTCTTGGTGGACTGCTACCTTAGATTGTCAAATTTTCTGAAAATTGATATAAATATATCATTTTTCTTATGATGTCATTTTGAATTATAAATTATGGGTTTATTTTTTAAGTATGCAATTAACAATTTCAAATACTTTTATAGAAATTGCTGTCACCTTTAGGCAATTAGTGATTACCAATAATACTTCATTATATTAAGTGTGACAGATTTATAGTGTTTCAAGGTGAGACTTCTCATAAAAGAAAACTATATTTTACTTGGAGTTTTACTGTCAGCAATATATATGTGTATATAATAATAATAATAATAATAATAATAAGAAGAATAATAATAATAAAACAAATGAAAATGGTATATCAAATATTTTGGTGTTGAAGTTCAATGTTTAGCTTATTAGATTACATAATATTAAAAAATTTAAATCTCTATGATGGCAAATAATTTGTATGCAATATTTGTTTATAAATTTTAGGAGGAACATTATTAATTTTGAGGTCTTTGTTGTTCTGAATTTTGATTATTAATTATAATTGTTAATTAATACCTGTTAGAAACAAGGAACGAGCAGTTCATGATTTTTTAAATCCTCAAATTTATAATTTTTCAAAAACTCCAGTTCTATAAAACGGTTCATTGTTGTTATATTTCAGTAAACTTGAAAACTATAATTCATTTGCGCAGGCTGGAATGGGTGGAGGAACTGGCACTGGTGGAGCTCCAGTTATTGCTGGTATCACAAAGTCAATGGGTATACTGACTGTTGGTATTGTCACAACCCCCTTTTCATTTGAAGGACGAAGAAGGGCAGTTCAAGCACAAGAAGGAATTGCAGCCTTAAGAGATAATGTTGATACACTGATAGTTATTCCAAATGATAAACTGCTGACTGCAGTTTCTCAATCTACCCCTGTAACTGAAGCATTCAATCTGGCTGATGATATTCTTCGACAAGGTGTTCGCGGTATATCTGATATTATTACGGTATGGAAACATTAAGATCTTTGGAGACAAGCAAATACATTCCTCGCATTGTTTGTTCTTTTTTTTTCTCCCATCAAATCTTGATTGTAAAAGGAGTAAAGAGGAAAGAAAGAATGAAATTTTAACAATTCATCAGTCCCTACATGATTCACTAAGTTGTTTAATGTGTTGGTTCAAAATTATGTCTTTCCTTTAGTTTATTTGCTAGATCTCATACATTTCTTACTATCAATTTCGTATGCACGTACAAATGTATGCAAGACATACTCTGGCCATCCCACTAATCAGATGCCCTGGTTATATGTTTCCCATGGTATAAAGTTGATGGTGTTTTTCTGAAATCACTAATACTCATTTTTGTTAAGATTGCAGATACCAGGATTGGTGAATGTAGACTTCGCTGATGTTCGAGCTATAATGGCCAATGCAGGTTCTTCACTTATGGGGATAGGAACTGCAACTGGTATGTATGGGAATTGCAGATGGAGATGCATTTCTGGTCCTGAATCCGATCTTCTATTTGATCTAAATAACTAGCAAGTTTTCCGTACATTGTACAGTTATTTCTAAATTTTAAATAAATTCTAAAATATGAATTTACACATAAATTGAAAATAGAAAGTATCATTGATTCGTCATCTTTAATTAAATATTAATGAATGGTGAAATCAGTATCATTAAGAAAGAAAGAATGATGTATGTAATAGATGTCATTGCTGTCAATGATAAGAATTTATTTTAATAGATAGGAATAGATTGAAGAGATAAGACTTTTGAAATTAATGAGAAGAGTATGAAAATGAATTATTTGAATCAATGCTCGATGATGTGCGGTAGAGGAGGGTTGTGTTAGGCTCTTTGCAGCCAATGTAAAGCTCAAATTCTGTATGATGTATCAAATTCAAATTAGGAATGATTAGATTTATAGAATAGTTTGAGAGGAATAAAAAAATGTTAAAGAAGTGAGATACTTGATGTAGAAGTTACTTCTGACGTGACTTACTTAGAAAGAGTGTATCTCCTTAATGTCCTCTTGTTTTAGAGCAAGTACTCAAATTTAATATATGGTAATGGAGTGCTTCTAAACCTCTGCTTTGCTAACTAAAAATTATATTAATATATGTAGAGGGTATTGTGATGCTTGAACTATATATGCAGTAAGACATTATAAACATTACCTTACTATATGGATCATGTCTATAATTAAAAGGGAAGGATTATTTGACCAAAGTTGTTTTAGAGGCATAGCTGGATTGCCTTTAAAGTTGAAAGTATGAACTTGAAACTGTCTTATATTGCAAATCCAAACAAAGCAAGATGAAGATTGTCACATTAACTCTCAAGTTCATGCCACACTTCATAATTCTTGAGAAACATACACATTGATGGAAAACATACTTTAACATTGACAATAAAATTGTATCCCTTTACTGATCAATGACTTAAGTATGAATAAATTATCCTCTGATTGGTATACGTGTACCTTTTTTTGTGGGGAAACAGGAGTATGGTCGGAATTGATGAGCACATATTCATCCATAGTTGCATGTATTACTGAAAAATTGAAATTTAACTTCGTGATTCTTGTATTGAAGGGAAAACAAGGGCAAGAGATGCTGCATTAAATGCTATTCAGTCACCTTTACTAGATATTGGTATAGAAAGGGCTACTGGAATTGTATGGAACATAACTGGTGGAAGTGATTTGACCTTGTTTGAGGTAGCTAGCTATCCCTCTGTCCTTTACAGGGTTATCTTTACTAGATTGTTGTTTCATCTGAGTACGGACATGATGCTTTTTTCTCCTCATTCTTTCTTTCTTTCTCCTTTTATTTTGAACGACAATCCTTTCTGTTTCTTTTGGAATCTGGGTTATACAACGACTGGGAAATTGCTAGGAGGAACATGTACTGAAGTTAGGATTTTTCTGAATAATTGAACCTTACGACCATGTGCTGAATTCCGTGAAACACTTTCTTACATGATTGAGATGATTGTGAATTGTATCAGTTTTCCATGGACATGATCTTTAGGCAAGGATTAAAAATCTAAGACTTATTAAAATATTTGTAAAAGACATCCAAGTGCATCTAGTAATTCAGTTACCATAATTCTGTAGTCATACTATACTGGCAAGCTAGCGTAGTTTGTGAAGCGACTAAATAATTGTTTGAGGCATACTTTGGCATCCATTTCGTGAACAAAGAAATAAAATAAACCACGTTTCGGTTCTGTATTCTGAATAGCTACCTGTTTAACAAGCTGCAATCTATCAAGTTCGCCATACTCCATATTTTAATATGGTCTTTGCTTTGCTATGGCTTGAAATATTATTTGCAGGTAAATGCCGCAGCTGAAGTTATATATGACCTTGTGGACCCCACTGCTAATTTGATATTTGGAGCAGTAATAGATCCATCTCTCAGTGGTCAAGTAAGTTAAGCTATGCAAACCGTTAAAAATTGTTTATACTAACAACTATATGTTATGTCAATATTCCTCTTCCTCTAGAATTGAGTTGGGTAACATTACCCCTGTCCAGTGCGTTCAGGACACAGCATATATCCCTTTCTTTCTAGGAAAAGCACATGCTCTTCAAAATATACTACGCCATGCGCATTTCACACTTCATAAACGTTTTAGATACTCCTGCCCATGTTATGCAATTTTACGATTATAGTTTTATTATATAAATGACACTTCTTTTAACTTGAAATTTGCGTAAATTACACTGTTCTCTCATCTAATCTGTTAGAATATATATGAAAATATCTAAAAATGTTTTATCATTCTCTCATGGGATTACTCGCTTTTTATTTCTTATCCTAATTTGTATTCTTAATTACTTGGGATTATGATTAGTGTAAGTAAATGAATAAGGGGTACACTAGGTTTTATGAACATATTGAATACATCCATACATTGTAATACATTTCAGTTAATATGAATTAGTATTTCATTTTTTATTTTATCTCTTCCTCCAATACCTAAAATTCCACAATTTAAACATAATTTTTAAAATTACACTCCTCTCTTGAGAGATGAAATGTGCTACTATGAATGACCTTCCTAAAGACATTTGTCCTTTCTTTTACAGCTTTGAACGTCACCGAAAGTAAATTTTTTTATTATTCTATTATTGTTGATTTATGCCTTCAGAGGATAAATAAAATTTTAAGCTCCCTCCAATCGGCTTTTGAACTTCAAACATTGTTTCTCTCTTTTGAAATTTGTGCATTTGTTATTTTTATGCTCCATATGTTTCTTCATACTCATGGTGTCATATTGTTTTTCAAATTTGCCATGTAATTTGGTTTCATATAGGTAAGCATCACATTAATTGCAACCGGATTCAAGCGTCAAGAGGAAAGTGAAGGGAGGCCTACACAGGTATGACCTCTTCCCACCATAGTCCCAGCCCCTCCTCCTCTCTCTGATGCATTACCTATGATTATGTTTTTTGTCCAAAATGCAGGGCAGTCAACTCACACAAGGAGAAACCATTGGTATCAATCGGCGATCATCCTCTTTCACAGATGGTGGATTTGTTGAGATCCCTGAATTCTTAAAGAAGAAGGGGCGCTCACGTTATCCAAGAGCTTAATAACCTTTCTCCCAACTTCTTTAATCCCTTGCATCTCTTTACCAGACTATTTTTAGGGATACAAATCTCATTAGTCTAGGTATTAGATCCTGTTTTGCCCTCTTTTACATTTTTAGGCCCGTTTTGTGTATACAATTGTTCAGGAAGGCAAAGCTCTTTCCAAACCGATGTGTTGAGTTGAGGCTTGTTGGCATATTCTAATAAGTTTATTAGCTTCTATTTCTGTACAGAGAATATCAGTAATGGCCAGGGCTTGTTAGTGTTACCAACAAATCAAGATTAAATTTGTGTACATGACAGTTTTTCTTTGTTCCGAAGACAAAGCCGAGAATGTCTCACATTCTCACAGGCCAGGTGAAGCTGTCTTAGTCTATAATGGTCTGTTTTGAGAAATATAATACATGGAAATAATAAATGGATGAGGAAAAAACTGAGAAATTTATGGCGTTTGGTGTAAAAGCAATAGACAAAGGATGAAGAGAAAAATTGATTAAAAAAATAGCGAAAACGTATTAATGAGATTCATTTATTTTTAATTTCATCTTCTCTATTTCTTTTCACTTCGAACCAACCATACCATAAAGAGGGGATATATGTATTGAGAAGCGTAGAAATATGATATACGATATTCTAGATTGTTCTTTAAGATGTTTTCACGTGAATTCTATTAAAAATATTTTTTTATTTTCTTTACTAGTGTTTTAGGATAGTGGTTGACTCGTAAAATATTATGTCATTATTGTGGAAAGAGTAATGATATATTGTTGTGTAAAATCTTTTACAATTTTTTCTAGTATTTTATGTTGAGGGTTATCTGGTTGATTGACTTGCCAATTGACTTATGCAATAAATGAATATTACGAAAATTAATCCATAGCTATCCATATGTAAATAAATGATTGATTAAAATCTGAAAGAAACCAAGGTGTAAAATCAAAATATTAGGCTGCATTCTGCAATCACCTAGGCCCAACACTTTCAACGTCCAATTTCTAAAGCTATAGCTCGTCATCACGTTTAATTATTTTAAAGTATGTTGAATACAATTAATATAATTTGAAGTAAATATTCACATATTTAATCTCAAGTTGAAATTTTATTACGGGTTTTAAGGTGAAATAACTTTAATCACTTTGACGTTAATAAAAATACTTATATTAAATTTTGATGTATCTTGTATTTTAAATATTAATTAATTTTCTTTAAAATCTATTTTAGTGTAAAAGTAGTACTGCAAGTACAGTCTTGGCGTGAAACGCATACATCTATGGCCTAACAAAACATACCCATGTGATTGGGACGATAAGGAAGGTCCACACCTTCCAATCCAATCAAGAATGGACTCATTCAAAAATAAAAAAGTGTGACAAAGGAACTTGATATGTTGCTCCACTTTTTCAGTCTCAGATTCCACCATCATAATTCATTCATGTTGTACCTCCTAAAATAAGTATTGTCCGCGTCTCATCTCATAATAACCACTATGATTTATTTGGTAACAAACATTAATACATGTTATTTATTAAAATAACATCATTCTTAACAAATGTATTAATTTTATCTGCAAGAAATATCACTTTAAGTTTGAACAAAAACAATCTAACGTTAAAACTGCTGAAGAATAGGTTCGAGGAAATTAGTTATTCTCTCTGTTCCAAAATATTTCTTGTCCTCACTTTATATGACATTAATGTTTTGATACGAAAACTAAGAAATACTTAACATAATCATTAAGGAATATCATAAAAAGTTTTGTGTAATTTTTTAAATTAATTGTTACACATTTACTCCTACTAATAGTATTCTCGGAAACAAAATGTTAAAATACATCGTTAATTTTGTAAAACGGCAACTAGTTTAAAATAAATTTTCTCTTAAACGTCATATTAAGTTATACAATAAAAAAGTAATGACATTTTAAATTTTTTATTTTGCTCCATAATAGTTTTTTTTTCAGTTTGTTAAACTTTTTTTTTCAACCATATCTCGAAATATAATTAAGAGTAATCAACGCGCTACTATTTACATTGAAAAAAATTCGTAGATGTATTTTTGTTATATATATATATATATATATATATATATATATATATATATATATACATTCTTCCAGAGCTCAATCCATAATTGTCTAATTAAGTTTTTAACAAAAAGATTATTAATATATTTTTTTAATATATTTTTATTGGAACACTATTAGTTTAAATATACTGTAAAATATAAAATTAGTGTAAAAACTCGCTAAATGTAAGGGATAACACATCAAATTCCGTGTTTTTCAATTAATTTTAACAAATGTTAAACAATTGGAATAAATTTATACAAGTACGTTTATTTTCCATGCATTGTTAGGTAATGAAATTTTCATCTACTAATATTTATTGCTCAAATTCTTTCAATTTTTTTTAATGTGTTTGTTTATTTTTCTTTATAGTATTGGTTATATTTTTTCATTTTCTTTCTAAATTTTTTTTCTCTTACACTTATCACAAATGTACGTTAATAATTTTTTTTCGTTTATTAGTCGTATCTGCCATATATATAATTACGGTATTGAAAAGTCACAAATATCAGATACATATCAGATTTCATAATTGATATTTTTTTTGCATTAAAATAATAATAATAATAATAATAATAATAATAATAATAATAATAATAAATAATGGGCCATTAAATCTCACCTAATCTTATCGGTCAAATAAAAAATAAAAATCTAATAATTTAGTTTTTTCTATATTTTAAAATAAATAAAAAAAATTATTTTGTCTCCTCTATGTTCCGTCAACGCTCATTTCTTATCTAATTAAAAGTGCTTTTTTATTTATATAATTTTAAAAATTTTGTTTGAAAAAAATAATATCACATTCATTTATTTATTTTAAATTAAGTTATAATTTATTCAAATAAAATAAAATCATAAAATATCATCGTACAAAATTGTATGATATACAATCATACAACAATGAGTTGTTACAATCATATTAAGGAGTTATAATTATTTATATATCACAATTAAACATATCATATCGAAATATTAGATAACACATATTTTCTATTAAATACACATTATTCTAATAATTGATTTAAAATAAGGATTCAAAACTTTATTTATATTTCAAACTCTTTTATACTCAACATAACTAAACTGAAGATCATACTTAATAATGTAGGTAGTAAGTGTATCTCGTTAAATTAGAGTCAAATTTTTATGAACAAACTAGTTTTATTATTCAATATAACGCTCACATCATGATATTTTGAGAAATATATTACATTTAAGAATATATCGTCTTAAATTATTGGTCCTCAACCGTAAATGTGACTGCAATAACAGTAAAAAAATGACCAAAACATATGAAATTTATGTTTAGAATTTATTATTCTCTCTAAATTATATATAACAAAATATATTATCAAATTAATTTATTATACATATATTTTTTTAATAAAATAATATTACTTTTATTTTATTGTAAAAATAATTAATATTTTATAAAATAGGTCAACCCATAAATTTACGAACTAGTCTAGCCTAAGCCATTTAAGTCTAACCTAAATAAATCGGACTAAAATTAAGATGATTTTATTTAAACTATAAATTCTTCTATTTAACCTACCATAATTTTTAAGTCTTTTTGGGTTGGCTTATCATATTAAATATAATTTGAGACCTTGATTTATAAGTTTTGAACTTGCCACGTTCTATGGTGGAATAAAAGGTATTTTAATGCAATAATTATTTTTACGCCTATATATTTAGTGTTCATATGTTATTTTGTTTTCTCACTCAAAATGGGAGACAAACCGAACAGATTGAGAAAGGAAGTTTGGAAGAATTTCTAATGTAACTTTTTTCATGCAGAGGGTGTTCAGGATAGGTCGAAGAGAAGTATGATAAAATGAGGAGATGGAGTTACTATGCTCATGGTGTGGTATGAAGAATCAATATTTAAATTATGTACTGCTTATATGTACCAAGTCTCAAGAAATGTGTAGAATGGGAGGAGATTATATGATTTACAATGCAAGAACATAAATAAAGTAACGCGTGGATTTGAACGTAAAGAAAGCGATAATTCGAAAAAATATTTTTACAAGTTTAAAAGAGAGTTTGAATAGGACGTTACCTTTTTGGTGGGGTAGTTATTTTATTCCTATTATCTTTATTAAGTATCGTTTGTATTACCAAAGGATTTATATAATATGTGTAGATGCTTGATGTATATGAGATTGGGACATTGAACAACTACATATATTACTATTATTATTGCTAAATAAGCAAAAGAAAAAATCTTTCATTTTGTTCTGTTCAGTGACTGTTTTTAAACTCGCTTATAAAGTAAATGTTTTTGTGTGATATCAAGACCTCACAATAATTTGCTAAAGCAAACAATAAAAAAAGAAAACTGAAATATCTTTTCTGGCATCTAGAGAGTATCTGTCTCATCAAAAGCACTTGACAAACAAGTAAAACGATAAATATAGGCATGGTGAGAGAAAGAGAATGGGAAAAAAAAATCAGATAGCCAAACTTGATTGGTTGAAAGGCAAGAATCATAGAGTCACAAACACACACACACAGAGGCATATGCAGATGAATGTCAACCTCACAATCCTCCAAAAATCAATCCAAGGAATCTTGCTTTGTTTAGCACAATGCAGAGGGTCTTTCTTTTTTCTTTTCATTCCATTTTGGCATATTCATGAACAGTGAGGGAGTGGGAATTAAGACACCACACAAATAGAATCCCATCTCAAACAAGACACGTACGTTTGTCACTTACCATACAAAAGAAGCTCTTGTGGGCGACGTGTAAACTAATTTCCCACCCACTTCCTTTGCTTTATTCCCCACACAAACCCACCCCTTCTCCGATTTCAAATCTCCTCTACACAACAAGATTGCAACTCATCAAGGATTACAGCACACACAAACAAATAAAATCACTCTTCTTTTCTCTCTCTGCATGAAAAGAAAGTAACCATCCCTTCATGGCTCACCAATCTTCTGCTGAATCTGATGACCGGATTCCTTCAAAGTCATTGGAGCTAAACAGTCCCCATCCGTGTAAAGATATCATAAACATGGAGCAGAAGCAGCAACAACAAGAGCCGTTGAGCAAAGTTAACCATGATGGTATGGATAGAGAAAAGGGAGTTACAAAGCAAGACCCATCTGCTTCAAAATCCCTCCTTTGCAACGAGGAGAAAATGGCATTGCAAGAGGCTGCAACAATGGATGGTGTTGGTGAAGAAAGTGGTGTTGCAGAGGCTTTAGAAGAGGATAGTGGACGCGAGAGGCTGAAGCGGCATAGAGTTGAAGTGGCTGGGAGGGTTTGGATTCCTGATATGTGGGGTCAGGAGGAGCTGTTGAAGGACTGGATAGATTGCACTGCATTTGATGCCCCTTTGGTTCCAAGCAGAATCTCCACTGCACGAGAGGCTTTGGTTGAAGAGTGTACAAGAGCAAATGCTGCTGGACTAAGAATAGAGAACAGGTGTTAGATTTTTCTTGTTTCTGTAATTCAGTTTAACGACAACCATATATTCATACGGATTGTTTATTAATCCTGATCTTCTTTACATAATCCGAATTTGTTTTTTTTTTTTTTTTTTTGTGGATGATAAATTCATTGTCATGGATTTTTAAGATACATTTGACAAATACAACCATCATGTCGGAAGTTAAAATTTGTAAACTATGAAGTTCTTATAGTTTGTTCACTGTGGTTATGCTTTCAGTTTCAGCACTTGTGTCTTTCTTTCGAGAAAAAACAAGTCATTAGTTCAAGCAATTTCCCAAATGGTCTCTCGCTCAGTTCCAGCAAACCTTGATCCTAGAATGTCTAAGTTGAAGCTTCCAATGCTTACGAAGGTCACGTCTGTAATGTAAATAACTTTCAGCCTTTGAGAAATAATTACGCTAGTGATTTTTTCAGGGAAAAGAAAGTTTGGTATAATTCGGATTAAAAGATGCCTCCTATTTGGTGGTAAGTAACCAATTCTAACTCAAGCATATAATTGCAACAAATGCCCATGCCCAACGATTTAAACGAACCCAAATGTTGGATAGAAGAAATTTTATTCGTGAAAATATTAGCGCATTTGTGTAATCACAATCATCAAAACTCTATTTCAAGTTCAAATCTCCAATGTTCCAGTAGATATCAGGATTACTATGACAGTTGTATTTACCAAAAAGGATGAACGAGCATTTGGTCCTTCATGTCATCTAACTCTGTAGTGTAGATCTTGATATCATTATTTATGATGACCATTTTTAATACACTAGTCCTCCCTGAGCAGTATATATTGCCCTTGGCTTACTGGGGTATACTAGTGAAAATGTGACATTTACTGCTAACAAATTTTGGTGAAAACTCAAAGCTAGCTTTGCGACCCGTCAGGAAATTGTGGACATGGGATTTGCTATTCAATCATGTTGCTCTAGTTATGGATATCTGCCACAGAGTGATTAGTGAGTATCTTCCTTTTCATTCTATGACTAAAAGTCACGCAAGCAAAACATACTTACGGTACTAGTCACCACCCTAGGGTAAATAGTTTTTGAGCAATTCTTGAGAAAAATGTAAAGTTTGGTTGAGAGTAATTACAATTTACAGTCACACTTCTGACTTGCCTAAAAAATATAGTAATCAATATCTGATTGAAATTTTTAGTAATTATAACTAAAGAGAAAAGAAAAAGAACTATGAGGGTGCCTGCATATCTAGCACTTCTATAGGCTCCACCAGTATAAACTTCTGCTACTAATACAGCAAATGAGAAAAAACTAGTATCACCATTATGATATCAACTCCCACACTTTGATTGTCCCATCATCGCTTGCAGATGCTAGCATCGGCTTCTCCTGTTTAGGAAATAAAATTGTTACCAATTGCAGGGACAGACACAGGAGGCAAAAAAATAGGTCAATGGTTGTTTAAGAAAAAAAAAATTGTTTCTATTTTCTGTTTTCTTTTTTGTACTTCGATTCTTTGAAACGATTTGTGCACAACACAATCAAAAGAATAAAAAATACTTTCATTATTCATATACAGATCTTTAAAAGCAGGAAACAATATGAAAACAAAGTTGTATTTATAACTAAAGGTGAAAGGTGAAAACTTTTTTCTCAAATCAAATGGCCCCTAAATTTTTATAAGCTATTACCGTGTCTGTGCCAAACTACATTTTTTCTATATCTTATAACACTAATGAAAATGTATTCTACCCTCCATGGCGCAAAGTCTGCCAATACCTGCCATTTAAACACATTACTGGTAAAAAAATACCAACTAACCACAATTACTTCTATTGATCATACAAGTTACCATAAATTGAAGAGGTCATTATTTAAACTCAGACACGATCAGCTAAGAGCATTTATCGCAGTGAAATCCACCATTCCACCCAATCAATGTTTGTGGAAAGAGATACTCATTGCATTATCAATGTGATTCCATTACTAGTGTATGAGAATCTTACCCCGGGGCTCCACTGCACAAAATTTACATCCATGTCATGAGCCTGCTCTTTCTTCAGCAACAACTTGTATTGAGGACCACCAACCTATGTATGTTATAATCAAGCAATAAAACTGTCAATGTTAACCTATTTTTCTAGATATTGAAATGCGTCTACAAATCTACCAAGATACAAAGTTAATTATTTAAAATCCTTTTGTTCAATTTGGTCATTATTTTACAACACAATCATACAATCTTATAGTAGTTTGAATTTTTCAGGGACTTGGATTTCAATGATTTATCCCTTAATAACAAGGGCACAAATGTAGAGGTTCAAAACACCCGTACATTTTCAGACACAGAGAAGAGCACCTAAACAAAAGGATCAGATGCAAGTTCAAAAATATATGGAGAAACTGAGAAGGGAGATTATTATGTTAAAAAAATGAAACCAGCTGCTCCAGCTCGTCAGTGAACTCAAACAGTATGCGAATATGCAAGAACATCGTGCTAATATCTTTAAAATAAAAGATAGTTCAAATAAAAACTTAATGCAGATAAATAATGTTGCAAATACAGTTAATATTATAACTGTGTGACTCAACGTTCCCTTCATTTAAGTTGTAAATAAAGAGACATTTGGCATTGGTTTGTCATGTCTTTTGCTACTCTTATCTTTGTAAGCAAGTACAAAGAAATCAACTTCCAGTTCCAGGTTATTCATTAGCACAAATAGCCAATAGAATTATAGAATCACAAAGAGTCAGTGATTTAAACGGGTTGGATTTTACAGCAGAGGAAGCTAGAAATGGACACAGAATCCGATGCTTCTCCTTTCTGTGCAGACTTCCTACTTTTAAGAATAGAAATGAGAGGATAAAATATCTATATGCTCCACTGGGATCCCTAGTGAGTTAAAGTTACAGCTAAATAATGACACTAGCTCTCCCCACCAGTGCTTAAAAAAAGGAAAAACAGGTCCTTAGGTCAAGGGACCAACAGCAGTAGTTGATGAGCAAATTTTCTGATCATTAAAACAAGCAAATTCAGCCACAACTTAGTAACTGTTATTCTTTTCTGTTAGGAACCAAGAATTAAACAAACAGAAAAGAAAGTTTCTCTATTGAATAGAATGAAAAGACCAAGAAATAGGAGAAGACTCTCCTCCAGGGTTTCCCCTTCACAAAGGATTTCTCCTTTTACAAAGAGCTAATGCTCAATTTACAAAAAATATTCACCCCTTTCTCCTATCCTTCACACCCTATTTATATCTAAACAACACCTTATGCAACTAACTAACTCATTAATATGCTAACTATCTTACTAACTTCTCCTTCCCCTTATACCCTAACTTTTCTTAATTAAGATACCCAATATACATGTGTGGGAATTCTCCAGCAGGAGAACACACACAAACTTTTCTGAGTTTGACATGAATATTCAAGTTAACACTCTCACCTGTAGTTTCTAAAATACTCAATTAATTAACTCGTACCAATCATAAATAACCCAACTTTTGATAATTACAAACAAAATCCTGACAACAGAATTTATCAAATGGTCAATAAGTGCAAAAGTATATTAGGAATGAATGACCAAAATGTCACATTTGAACTGTGATTATGTTTGTGGTAACTACAGTAACTAGTAAACAATTGGCATACCTGACTTTCATTGTCATCCACAAAAAGGCGTATAGCATTATCAGCGGCTCCACTGGCAAAGATACCTTCTCTGTCATACCAGCACACAGGGTACAGGAATATCAGATTTATAAACAAAATTAAACAAGATGATACATCTCACATCTGATATCATGATGACAAACATTTAGTTCATTAGTCAATATCTTCATCCGGCTATCAATTAAGAAAAAGGAAAGAAAGAAATAAGTAATGAACTAATCATTGAATCCACAGAATGCTGTATAAATAAGAAAATCACACTTACACTTTCCAAAACATCTGTGACGGTGAGAGTCAAAGAGGGTAATTCATCCACAATGTATGAAGAAAGTCAACATACCTCTTAAATATGGAGGTTGGTTTATTTACTCGATAACATAATAGGTCCCGTTTATTCCATTACGAGGAAACATAATTTGCAATTATTATCAGCAGGAATAGGCATAGATAAAAAAATGAATGCATTCTCAAAGCCACACATATATTATACATTGAATAGAGATAACCAAATAGCAGGTAGGTTCAATCTGCAAACCACTAAAAGATTTATGTAAATACCAAGTGGAGATGCAAGTTTCATTTTACCTTGACCAATGAACTGAGAAAACTGTCCGATCATGATACCCTGTAAGAGTGCAAATATGTCTCCTGAAATTCCAATAAAAAAAATAAAAATTATAATATCTGCAAAGGAAAGGAGAGGATTATATTAATATGAGTTCATTATTAAATGATGTATCCCCTTTATAAGAAGTGCTATAGTAAAAATTAAGAGTATTATTAACCCAACCAACCTATGCAATTGATTTCATAAACTTTGAAAGAAACCAGCCATGGTGTTTCAATCTATTCCAAACTATACTACAAATACAGCAGATTTAACAGTGAGATTATGACTTCAAAGATCAGTTAAAGCAGATCTTTCAAAAATACTGTGGAGTTTAAGATAAGGTAACAGGGAATCGTGAGACAACAGCAAGCAAATGAGTCATGATGTAGACATCATAGTTATCAATCTCAAAGAGCACGGCGTCGAGGCTAACTCTAAAAACACTATGATAACAGGATGGACACTGTTTTAAATAATATATAATACAAACTAAAAAGTTTATAGTGCACATATAAATCCTCCAAAACAAAAGAAAACCCAAAATTAAAGAAACTTATAATAAATAATAAGAGTCAATGAAGTCAAAATATGAGAGAAGAAGGTGAAATTAATACAAAAAAAAAGATCAAATTAGCATAATGTGAACCAGAAAGCTAAAAGGAAGAATAAAGGATGGAATAAAGGAAAAAATATATCCTTTACAGTGTGTTTGATCCGAGTATCGGAAACATAAGATGCAAAGAAATACAATGATTTCACTTATTTCAATAAAAAAAGTAGTGAAATCGAGGTAATATTTTATCATCGCACACAAGTGAAGAAAGGCAAAGAAAATTGAAAATTTTGGACATGTCTAAAAAATTGTAAATAATATATATTTTTCTATATTTTCTTATTAATAATAAATAATTTAAATAATATATTAAAATAATAAAAAATTATTAATAATAAATAAATCTATTTGACTTTCCACTCATTTCTACCCTTTCCTCTTAATCCAAACAATCCTACTTTGTTTTTTCTTTCTTGTCTTTTTCACTCCCTCAAAATTACTTTTCAATCAAACACAAGCTTAAAGTAAGGAAGAAAGATCAAAACAGAGGTAACTTTTTGTGGAATGGTCATAGAAGAAGCATTTCAAATACTAATACGTTTTCAAAGCAAAAAAATGCATTAGAAACACGTGAAAGAAATCACAACTTTACTCAAAACAGGAAACCTAGACAACGTTGATACATAGTAGCCACTATAGCACTTGAAAAGATGCTATTGTGGTCATTATTGTTGACCACAATGGCCATTATTGGAAACATCTTCACTATTTGAACCCCATAGCAAACACCAGGGCAGCTCCACTCCAATACAGCGTGATAGTGATTTCTGTGGACTAGAGACTAGAGAAGAGGTCCTAAAAGTAAGGATGATAAGGGAGAAAATGAAATATTATATTAAAGAGTAATAAAAATAGAAACAAAATCTGGTTATATATATTGTTCCACTCTAGAATGTTAAGTGCTACAGGTTACATCATAATACATTCTATGTGGGACTTTCAACACGTCCCCTCCAACGAAGCCTGCCGGACCAGACAAAGGGTACTTTTGACCCAACTAAAGGGCAACTTTTAGCCCATGACAATAACCGGAAAGATGTTAGGCTTTGCCTCTGAGACCATGTTAAGGTTCCAACATAAAACCAATGGAGTAGCCTAACATGTATTTAAATAATTCCAAATGACATGAGATAGGCGATGTGGGACTTTCAACAATATGTTTTATCCCAAAATAACGTTCTCTGCCACATTACACTATTCCTCAGGGGAAAAGAGTCTCAGGATATAAAGCGATAACCATAATAATAACATGCGTGCATAAAATGTGAATGCCTAGCACTTACAAAATGAGACAAAGACATATTCTAGTAGAAGGGAAGAAACTAATGTAAGAAAAGGCAAAAGAGAAACTAGTGACATACTAACCAAGGTGCAAATCCACCACCAGATTGTATCCCTACGTTTTCTGTCCCCCATACCTTCACTGTAAGATCATCGCTGCCATAAAGCATTGCCACCAAAATATCACAGAAGTTCAAGAAAATGGTAAAACAATTAAAGATGTGAACAAAAGAAATTTTCGCATACCTACACGAAACCATTTTGTCACCACTCGCATTGAAGGAGAGGGCCCAGACAGTGGAAGTATGACCACTGACAAATAACACCATTATCCATAAGTGAATTAATTAACATCAACATTGGTTAAAATAACGGTCAACATATATGCAAGATACGTTTTACATAACATATGGAAGAAGCACTCATTGCTAAAAGAGAAGAAAACCAAGAAGCTGTAAATTTGGAGATGATGGAAGAGATCAAGAAGTAGTACTTATTTGGTTCCCTGAGCGTTTGAACGCACCCCCAATCCTCACTATCACCTTCATCCGCCCAAACCTTGAATAAAATCATTTAGTTAACTTAATGCATTGCTTAATCACATTCATCCGCAAAGGAAGCAACCACACGTAAACAAAAATGAAACTAAAAGGCAGAGCCACTTTAGCATCCGCAATACCTTAATACTATTATCAAAGCTACACGAAAATAAGATATCCTCCGTGGGATGCCACTTCACCATTTTCACATCCTGCGCATGTCCTTGCAGAACAGACACACATTCAAACTCATTACCGGGAAGCACTTCCCATATCCAAACAGACTTATCTCTACCACAAGTTGCAAGCAACGTCCCAGACGCATTCCAACACACACTCTTCACTTCATTTTCATGTCCCTATAGTAAAATCACATTCACCTCAAAATAAAGCACAACGAGCAAAAAGAACACACATCCACATTCAAAAAACAAAATGGATGAATTTAGCAACAACCTACCTCCAAAGTAGAAACACACTCAAAATCGCCTCCAACATTTTCCCAAATGGCAGTGGTGCCATCGAAGCTTGCAGTGGCCAACAGCTTCCCCGACGGTGACCAAGCACAAGATCGAACAGTTCGAATGTGCGTTTCTTCCAAAACCGCCTACATTCCATTTTCACAATCACGGTAAACTATTATAAGCACAATCTCTTCAATTTTGAAATGTATTAGAGAATTTAATTTTGTAATGGTTGATGACGGAAATTGAGATGAGAAAAGACCTTGCAGGCCCATAGGCCAGAGGAGAGGTTCTGCTCCCAGATTCGTACGGTTTTGTCGCCGCTGCAAGAAGCGAAGACAAGCGGAATACCGGCGTGACCGGTGGCGGGGTTCCAATCCAAGCTCCAAACCCTATCGGTGTGACCTTCGAGTCTCTGAATCTCTTTCAACTCCATCGTCGCCAATCGCGTCTACTCTCTGCATACACCGCAAACACTGACCCTGCTATTTCCCACTTTCTCACAATCTCCTCCACGCGTCAGAGAAAAAAAGGTGAAGATGATTGGAACAAACAAACAAAAATCACCAATTGGGCCGCCGCCAATAGACCACGGGTGAGCACACAGCAAAACTACCTACCTAATGTTATGTTACACCGTTTTTTGGGCTATATGAATTTCACAGTAGCTTGTACAATTAATTTTTTTAAACCATGATGCTTACTAAAATTATTGAAATTCATTTCAAACCATTCAAGAACAAGAGTCTTGGCCTGTTACAGTAAAGGATCTAATTATCATACTTTATATCCATGGGTATTTATACCTTTGTCTTAGAATATATATAATTCACACACATGAATGCTAGAGAAAATAAAATGCTTGTAGTAATAATTAAGTTTTCTATTAATGATAAAATGGGTTATTCAATCCCACACACGTACTAGGGGATTGAGTCAAATAAATTATATTTGATTTTAAATTTGAAATGCTATTCAAATTTTGTGAAAAAAATCCATTTTGTATACATATTTTAAGGGATCCATACAAATTAAGTTTGCATTGGGTTGTGGTTTAATAAAATTCAAAGAAGTTTGTATTTAATTTGGTCCCATTTTATATTTCCACGAGTGGATTAGACAAATTTTATATATTTTACCACGAAATAAAGATAGTTTCGTTTTAAAACATTCTTTAAAGTATAATCAGAAAGATACTTTAATAATTACGAAACAAATTGTTTTAAGAAAATAAATAGGAGAAGAAGGAAAAGTAATAGTAATAAGGAGAAAACTTATCATAGATGTTGTTGGCAGTATTCTATAGTTAATTTTAATTTTACATGTGATATCATTCAATAATTTTTTTTATTAATTGTGTTAATAAGGTCAATTTCCATTTTACAACTTAACATCTTACACAGAATATAAATTGTGTAATAATAATAATAATAATAATAATAATAATAATAATTGTTTTTTAATGCTTCTTTATTTTGTATGTTTTTTTTTCACTTTCTTTACAATCAAACTTAAAAAGAATAAAACGTTTAAAGATGTTTTCATTTTTTTCTCTTGTCAAATAACTTCAAAATATCACTGTCTAGCTGGCCTCTTTATCTGTAAAAGGGGAACGGAAAAATAATAATTAATGGACCCACAGAAAATGAAGAAAAAAAGGATAGATGATTAGACACTTAAAGAATTAATACTTTTTTTCAAAAATGTATTATAAGTAAAAATCTATATTTTTTCTATTTTTTATTTATTTTAGATCAAGATCAATAAATTTATTTCTATCCTTTTTTTTCAATCAAAGAACGTCTTTTTTACAGTAAAATTTATTATTTAAATAGGTATATTATCTTCAAAGTAAATAGGTAAATTGTGATTCTCAATAAGGAAAAAAATGTATTTCAAAACATAATTTAATATTTAAAATTTTATTTTATTAAAGTCGTGTTTTATTCCATTACTTACGAAGTTCATAAAATAATAATTTATACTTGTATGTTTTTTTCTTAACATATTGACATTAAAAAATATTTATTGTATTTTAAGGAATTTTTTTAATTAAAGTTGTGTTTGTAACTCTTTATACAAAGTAGGACATATATCATTTTATGTAAGATTTTATTCTTATAATAAAAAAATGTTAACAATAATACTGAATATGGATAAATATGGTCAAATAGACTGAATTTATAAAAGCCTATGAAAAAAAGTTAACTATTTAATTTATTTGTGTTATTAATCAACCAGATTGAATTGAACGGCTAAATTTTAACTTAAAATAATAAAAATTCACAGTAGCACTTTCACTCATATAATAAGTAACAATAGGGTAAAAGTAATACTAAGTACATGCAATTATAAACAATAACGTGACCACGATATTAGTATTGTAATGACTATTATTATTATTATAATAATAATAATAATAATAAAAAGGAAAAAAAATGTGATATATTATTGTTATTAAGAAGACATAATGATATGTTCAATAATAATAAAGTAAAATAGATAATATAGAAAAAAAAAGAATAAAACAAAAAAAATAAGTAAACAAAAATAAAATCACTATTTTTTTTTTCAATATCTAATTTCAAAAAGGTTTTAATTGTTTCTAAATCATTTTAGATTTTTAATATTATTTTACTTACCGAGATTAACTCTTCCGGGTTAAGGACATGTAAGAGCATGGTCTTCCTTAGTCGCTTATCTTATATTTTAGCATTTTGATTTTCAGTCTTATCTTATATTTTTGCATTTTGATTTTCAGTCTCATAATATAAAATGGGTATTTGTAATAATAACACTTAAAAACAAGACAATGTATTAGTAAAGATTGATGTGATCACAATAATTACCTCATACTTGATATTAAAATATATTTTAGTTAAGATTTAAACATTTTACTTTAAACCAATTTCAAGACTCTTATAAAATATAAATATTTCATTAATATTATCATTAAAATATTATAAATATGTTTATTTAACTATTTTTATAACGAATAATAAAATAGACCTTTACACTTTGACTAAAATATTATAAATATGTTTATTTAACATTTGTATAACGAATAATCAAAATAGACCTTTATACTTTCCTTGAAATATATTGATCTTTGCTAAAAATTTAGTGTATTTTAATGGAGGAAATCTTATAAATTGTGATTTTTTTTTAAACTGAAATTATTATGTATTACGATTTTTATACATCTGATTTATATAAAAATTGTATTACATGATTTGTATGTAATTTATTATTATTATTATTATTATTATTATTATTATTATAAAATAATAAAATATAATAAAAATATAATATTATTAATATATTTAATATTAATATTATTTTTTAATAAAATAAATAATAATTATATTATATATTTTTATATAATTTAAAATAATTATAATTTTACTAAATTATTGTTATCATTATTAGTATAAGCCATAATAAAAATTAAAATAAAATTTTTATTATTAATATAATTAAATTAATAATAGTAATATTGATTATAACAATTATGATTATAAAAATCATTATTATTAAATTTATTATGAACAATAATAATAATAATATTGATAAGAAATATTAACAATATAAAAATTATTTTTGTATTAATAATAAATAATAAAAATAAATTTTTAATATTTTTTAATAAATTATTACACTAATAAATTTTAATTAATAATAGCTTTCTATTATTAATATTTAGTATCAATATTATTATTATTTATAATTTTGTAATAAAAATAATAGTAGTGAAAATGTTTTTAATATTATAATTATTATAATCAATATTATTCTTAATTTAATTTTATTATTAATATTACTAAGAAAAATATTATAATTTTGTATTATGAGTTATAATAATAAATTTAATAAAATAATATAATAATAAAACATTGGTTATTATTGTTATTAAATGTATTAGTGTGTATATATATATATATATATATAAGTATTGTTATAATTTTATTTATTTAATAATCAATATAATAATGTATTTTATATTTAAATAATAATATATTACTATTCATTAATAAAATTAATAATAATGATTTTTGTTATTGTAATTGTTATAAGTAATATTATCATTATAATTTTAATTATATAATTAATATTATTATATTAAAAAATAATAATAATATTATATTCATAATTATTTTTAATTATATAAATAATATAACATAATTGTTATTTATTTTATTAAAATAATAATTATTATTATTAAATATATTAATAATATAAAAATATTATTATTATTATATTTTATTTATTTATAGTGGTAATAATAAGTTATTAAATATATAACAAAATTTACCTACCGTTAAAAAAATCAAAATCATCTCATTCTGAAATTGTGGTTGATAACACAGTTTATCTAATTTCGTATTTTTTAAAAATTATATATTTTAATAAATTAAAAGAAAATTATAGCAAATTAAAAAAAAAATACATTATAAAAAAATTTATTGTTTGAGAGGTTGTGATCATGTTTATTTTATGACATTCGAGCTAATCGCTTCTGAACGTACACTTATTATATAACTTTATTTATTAGCGTTGTTGTGAATCAAAATAAAATTAATTAAAATTATTATTTTATTAATAAATTAAATTATTGGTTTATTATTTATATAAAAAAAATTTCTATCAAAATTTTATTTTTACGCTCTTGTTTTGTCAGTTATAATAACCATTAAAAGAACAGTAGTACCATATTTATGTTAAGATATATTTTGGTTGAAACTTAAATGTGTAAGCTTGTATAACCTTCAAAAAAATGTTAAGCTCTTATAGAATATAAGTATTTCATTAACATTATCATTATTTAATTTATTTTGTGATGTAAAATTGTTTATTAAAATATTATAAACATGTTTATTTAGCATTGTTATAGTTAATAATAAAAATAATCTTTTATACATTTCTTAAAATATGTTAATTTGTCGTAAAATTTAGCTGTCGAAATCTTATAAATTGTGATTAAATATATTTTATTTAATTTTTAATCATGAAATAAAATATTTTTCAGTTTACTGAAGATATATTACAATTTTTTATGCGTGGCTTATTATTATAAGTGTATAATAAGCTATATAATCAAGATTTTCATGAATTCTTAGCTTTAACACTTTTTACATGTACAAAGTTAGAATTATAAATTACTAAAAAAATTTGCAAAATGATGTAACGCAAAAGGAGAGTTTATCACAAATTAAAAATAAAATAAAGAACTAATTAATAAAGTAATTAAGAAATAAGAAAAAAATTGAATGCATATCATTATAAGACAAAATATAAAAAGAAATGCCATAGTTTTTTGTTCTTTTACTTTCACATTAGTGGAAGTTGAGTTGGGTGGAGGATTTCAGCCCAGCCCGTTACGAGTGGGTTGGACAGACTTAGCGGTCCGGTCCGAGTGGACCCGTGTGGAACTGTGACCTATATTCGAATTTCCCATCTTAGTTCGCATTTGCGTGGGCAAAGGAAGACAAAGAGAACAGGGAGAGAAAGAGAAGGGTAATCTTAGACCTAAATTGGTGAATCGAACAGAGTAGCATCTGCAAACTCAATCGCCATGGAAACCGTCGCTAGAAGAAGAGGTGGTGGAATTTTCGAGAGTCTTTACAAGGTCGTTATGCGTCGCAACTCGGTATATGTTACCTTTGTCATCGCTGGTGCCTTCCTCGGAGAACGGGTTCGTTCCTTCATCTTTTTTTTTTTTTCAATTTAGGTTATTATTATATTTATTTATTTTGCCAAATAGATTTCTATAATTGATTGCAGGCTGTTGATTATGGAGTCCACAAGCTCTGGGAGGCTAATAATGTTGGGGTAATAAAGCTTCTGGGCTCTTTGCTTAATTTAATTTTTGGATCATGCCATATGATATGCTGTTTCTCTTCTGAAACAATAAATTTGGCCGGTCAAATTGACGTGATGCTTTAGTTAGATTGTTTTTTTTTTATTATCGGTAAATCTGAGGAGGTCCTAATATTTTTAATGATTTAGTTGCTAACTTGCTATGATAATGATGGTCCATGATATTTTTACGCTGTTTTAGTAAATTTATTGCTTCTTTTTAAAATAGATCTCCTAAGATTTCAGATTCTCCATAGCTACATATTGGATTATTGGTTCGTTTTAACCTAGTACTATGACTATCAACTGTAGCTAATATAAAACACGGCTGATCTTTATGACTACCCTGGTAAGGGGCTAAGACTTGGTTATTGTTGTATTATGATGTATGTTATTGGATTATTGGTTATGTAGACTATGATTTTCCATCGACTCAGTTTTTCTTCTTACTGCAAAATAGTACATTATTGATTATATCATTATTAGTTTAAGAATTAGATTATGATGTCTGTTATATCCAGTTGGATTAAGCTTGATATTGCTCTAAAGGTTTCTGATTAAAATTAGAGTTATATAGGCAGATTCAGAACTGATAACGGAGTGTTAACATTGGAAAGTTATGGAAGCATTAGGAAGAATGGTTTTAATTTGTCTAGTTCATAATTGTTTGTAGCTTGTACTAATTACTAATATGCTAAGATCTAGTCAAATAATTCTAAATATCTATATGGTCTGTTGAATTTTGTTAGTTTTTCTTAAATGTTACACATGTAAGCACTGCTTATTAGGCAATTCCTATGTACCTTGTTACCTATATTTGATGCTCTTAACATGTTGCTATTGAACTCAATATGTATGACTCCTGTTCAAATCAAATGCAATTTGTGGAGGGTTTAGCATCACCATTTTATCTGAGTCAACAATTTTTTTGGGATGATACAATTTTGGACACATGTTAGTTTTGCTTGCACCAATCAGTATCAATTGTTTTGTTCAAGTTTTATTAACATAATTATCAATTTTCAGTTTTAACTGTGCTCTGGTTCGTTACCTTATCCATGAGAAAAGAGGCGGAGAAAAATGTATTTTTCTTGCCATAGTCTCAAACCCTGTGCATCTCTTAGCCTCTGAGGTTACCCTTTCCCTTTTCATTTTCCTTGTCTTGAGAACTCAAAATTTATCAGGGAGCACATGCTGATCCTCACTGCCAATTCTTATGTCCTTCCCCTCATAGTTAGTTCTTTCGCATGTCAGTAAGCTTGTTTCTATGATTGACCTCTTTCTTACCAAAGGGGGGAAGAGGTAGTTGGTAATCTATTTGGTCAAAATAAGGTAACATAATAACAACATATGTGCTGTATTTCATGTTTGTTTGGATTAAAAATATTTTAGAACAAAACTTGAGGTTAAAAAATGTTACATTTTGGTTCTGCTGAAAAATGTAACCAAGGAGAAAGCAACAGGATTGATGTTCAATTTTGTTTTGTTCATGCACCAAATACTACGTAAGTGTTCTTCTGGTAGTAATTATAATTATAATTATTATTATTATTATTATTATTATTTGTTGAAATAATCAGTGTAAAAATACTGTTGTTGATTGGGCTTGAAGGCACAAAATAAAGTACGTGCTGTGATTGATATTCCATTAATGGGAATGAGTGTTGCCACTCCCGTATTTCCATTGTCTCCTATTCAAATGTTTTCATCTAAAAATACTTCTCTCCTCTGTTAATGACATAGTTTAGAGAAATTTTATGTAAAATATAATATAATAAGATGGTAATGGCAATAGACAATTGCTCTGTTTTGCCAATCTTATCCTTTTTTGATAGGTAGTGAGGGGAAGTGAATCGACAGAGGTAGATAAAATTGTAGACTTTCTCTTACTGAGTAGCTGATCTCTTGGAGTTAAATGTTTGTGGCATGTGCTCATTTTTATCTTTTTATTAGTTATAATATGAAAAGTCACTATTTTTTACCTTTTAGTGTTTTTTCTTCGCCTCATTTATGCAATGTTGAAGGTTGATAATAGTTCTTAATTTCAACTTAAAAATTGATGGGATTTTTAACCATGGGCAATTTTTGTACTGTCAATTCAATATATGCTAGTAGAAGTATGTTATTAATTACGGTGTTAAACCCAATTGCCAACCATCAATTTTAAGGATTATGGTTTACAATGCTGCTGTTACGATTGCTTACTATTTAAGCTGTTTAGTTATTTACTATATTATTATCTGGTGCAGAAACGATATGAAGATATTCCTGTGCTAGGGCAAAGGCAGTCAGAATAATGACCAGTTTGTTAGCCTTTTCCAAGTTTTATTATATTCATGACATTTGAAGGGAATTTCAGTTTCCATTTTTACAATAAATACCTTATGCGTGATTTCATCTACTTGTCTTTGAAACCATTGCAGAATTCTGTATTTTTTTGAAATGGTTTATCCGGAATCATGTTATGCAAATTGCAGACTTTCTACCTACCCGATGCTCTGAGAGTGATGCTCATTAAGTTTTGTAACATCAGCTAATGAGTAAGCTGCCTACACTAGATTCAATAGTATTAAAGAAAATAACAATTAAAAGTTAGTCTTATAATCATTAAGAGTCAACCTAGCCTCGGTTAGCATATGTCATTGCTGGGAGCTGTTTGAAGGACGCCGACTGATACATGCCTAATAATTGCCCTTGACATGGATGGGAACATTGCAAAATGAATTGAACTGTATATTTATGAATTGGAATGTCAACTTTTTTTTTTTCAAGAAAATGATAAAACATCTTTGCGTAGATTGTGTAAGTGTAAAATTATTCATACAGAATGATGAGGACCGCGCTACCGTAAAATTGCTATTATTCTATTTTAATCTTGAATTTTCAATCGAGCATATCATTAATTATCTCTCTATCTAACCTTGAGATATTTTTTATTGATTTGATATAATTTATTCATGATAAACTTAATCTTTTAATTAAAATTAATTTTTGTTCTTCCTTAATATGAAGACTTTTTATTTTTTTCTTAACTCCAAACTAAATATTTCCTTCCTTTAAATAATAGTGGAAGTAGATGGTTGTTTTGTTATTTCAATTTTTTTTATGTAAATTAATTTAACCTTTTAATATCAAAATTCATCAAACTTTTCCTTATATTTTGTTGCCATTTTAACTCATTTAAATTCCTTTATGTCTTTCTTAAATTATACTATCTTGCTGTTTTGTTGATTATATAAACATAAACTTTATCCAACTTCTAATGATTTTTCCAATGTCCTTACCTCCGGTAATAAGACAACAAAATATTTTTTGTTATATCCACATTTCTCATAATTGATTGCTGCAGTTAACATTAATTGAAACCTATCGAAATTTAAAAATGGAACAACGTGTTTTGTTAACATAACTTTTAAAATTGTGTGTCTTTATTTTCAGTTTTAAAAATAAGAACGTACTTTTTATCTTTAATTTCTATTTTTTAATAATATTTACGTTTTCAATCGTGATTTTTTTTTCAAATCCATATTGTTGTCACTATTCGTCATATTAAGGTCGATCTTTTTATGTTTAAAATAATTTTCAAAATAACAATGTTATTTTAAAATTTATTTAAAAACTTAAAATTATTATTAAAATTATTTTAAAAAATTTAAAAATAAAATTAAGGAATATTGATCAACATTCTCTGTATTTTATCCTAGCGCATATTTTAAGAGTGTATACTAAGGCTGCCGATGCTATTTGTTTAGCTTTAATCATAGAAATTTATGTTCATTGAAAAATTAGATTACTGCTCCTTAAGTTGCAGAATGTTGGGTAATGGATTCTTTGTTTATTTTGTCTGCCTTGTAAACTTTTTAAAAAGGTTACATACATATTAATGTCGATGATGTTTAAAACTTCAGTTTGTAGTTTTGGATTGCTACCATGGTGTTTATCTATGTGACTGTAAATTCAGGTAAATTTCCAACACTAGTGACTTATCAGGAATCTTTGGAGTCCAAAGTTAATGAAACAAAGGCATTGGTAAAGTTCCAACATAAGAAAGTTCTTTGTATGGGTGTCGCTGTTGGAAATTGCACAATGGAGGAGAAGCAAATATTCCAAAATGTACAACTCAGTGTCAATTTTCTTGTTTCACTATTGAAGAAAAACAGGCAAAATATAAGTTTGGAGGCCTCGTACTACAGTTTTAACTATTTGAGTACTGAAGTCTTAAGAGAATCCAATATCCCACTTAAATATGTTGAATTCGATCTACTTTCATTACTTTTTTCCCATTCACTATCGGTACATAGAGACTATAAATTCAAGACAATGAAATCATGATATTGATGGTTTGTATTTATCTCAGTATGTTCAACACGTGCTATGCTATCTATTAACTAGCATGAACATACTTGAAACTTCTCCGTTTTTGACAAATGCTGTGATGACAGGAGAGCTTGGTAACTGCTTATTCCTGCATATTGAACTTGGCTAGCCTAAGTTAGCATGAGTTCTGCCAAAATATAGTTGTTGGTTAAAGCTTTTATTTGTGATAGTAGTTTCTTTTAAAAGTCCACCATTTCAACTTTTCAATGAAAAACCACAGAATGAAGTGAAATTTGATTGCAGCCCCGAGGCTCTAACTACAGATTGATCAATATGTTGGTTCTGGTTGTAAAAAGGGTCTTCTTGAAACTCACCTATGTTCGTCTAATATTTTGGTTATGGTACAATTATCTGTTTTGGCTATTAATGCATAATGATTTCTGTTTTCTCTTTTGCACGTAAACAGGTGAGGTGCCTCTACCTAAAGGATACTATGGGGAGTGCAATCCGCGTATTTTAAATTCATATATATCTTCGATTTATGTAAGAATAAGCGAAGCCTCTTATGTCATGTACATGGCATGTAAGCGAGACCATGACTATTGCCGACGGTTAGCATTTTTCATGTTATTTTGTACATTCTGGGGCAATTGAAGAGTTATTTTTAAAAAATTAGTTAATTTGATCTGCGTCAATCATGTTTATTAATTCTACTTTTCAAATGTGACTTCACTCAAAAAGAGTGGAACAAAATTTCTCGATAGAATTTACAAGAGATTCATTAAATGATATGTCTAATGAGTGTGTTCTTTGCATTATTCTATAAAAAAATGATTATTGTTAAACTATTCCATCAATGTACGAGGTATTTGTTTTAAAACCTTTTTAATTAATATTTGCTTAAAATAAACTTAGAGTTCTACTTTTATTTCGAGTGAATAAAATACGGCCACCGATTAAAAAATAATGTATTCTTCCAAATGACATTAAATGCTTCGAATAGAAACTTACATTCCAATTTTCACTGTTCGGTCCTTAACTTGAATTTTTATCAGAGTTAAAATAAAAGTACTACAACAAATGTAAACGATAATCAGACTTGTGCCACATTTTACTGGTTGACGAATGAATCTGTCCCAGTCATGGCCATTTATGTGGCATTACACGAGGAATTTACCATTGCTGCATATAATAGCTTCGTTCTACTTTTTTGGATCAAGCTCCAAGATATTAAATCAGACAAAAGAAACTGATAATTTCATACCGGTATCCATTTTACACTAATATCATAATGCAAGCGATAAATTTAATCTTCAGTTCAATCAATCGTTTGTTGTGGTGCAAAAGTCATGTTTCAAGATGGAATTTAGTCCGCAAGGACGAAAAAGTTGTGGGAGCAGTAGTGGATGGTCAGAAGTGGCTAGGATTATAAATAATTACTGTTTGACCATGAAGGAAATTTTACAACTGCAGCCACCAACTGCACTGGGGTTCTCAGTCACCTGCAAATGAAAATAGAAACTAATTGTAAATTTGTAGTCTGTTACATGTCTCAAGAATGCTATTCAACATGGTAAACCAGACACCCCTTTTCCTTCACAGTAATCTCGTGTCCATTTCAATACTATTACATTTGCCTCAATATATCCACAATCACATAATCACTTTTCGGTACACATTCATACAATCTATGGTCTTAGCACTTGGTTTAAGCCAACATACGTACCTTCTTCTTAAATGAAAAGGATGCCATGAAGCATAAAAGACAACACTTGATTGCTAAATATGAAGGACAGCATTTTCGTAAATAATTGCCCAAATAATTGGACAAGAAAAGGGTATGGTTTTGTGTGACTACGCAATATAAATAATGAAATCAAAGTTCGTGGGTGATGCTCCTTAAATTGGAATTTTCTATGGGGCTCTACATTTTAGAAGCACATTATGCTCAGAGTTTGAATATTTGTGAAGGAATTGTCACGAATCTTGTAAGGAAGAACTGTGTAGTTCAGTTGAGAAGCGGCAACCTTTGTGAATGAAAATTGTCATTGTTTCAATACCCATCAATTCAGATAGGTACACCTTTCTTTGATTCCTATTCGCAATTTCTGTTTTCTTTGATCTTGTATCACCCTGAACTGTACAGGTGAACGGTTCTATATTATAACATTCCAATCGCCCATCTACATGGGTCATTTGGGCTTGAACCATGGACGAATACACATACCTACACTACATCATGCTCAAATTCAACTTTTTATTAGAGAATGGGAGGCAACAAGGATCAAATCTTTTATTACTTGATCAGAGATTTGATACTGCATCGAGGACCAACTATGCTCAAATCTTTAGCTGATTGGTAAAAAAGCTCGAAAGTGGTTTTATACAAAGCACAACTTCTGGAATGTTTCAGGAATTAACTAGGTAACAATATGTGAATTGCTATGTTAATTCATTAAATACTTTCCGAGAAGAATACAGGTTGGTAACAGAGAAATGGAGTTCTTTGTATTAATGAAAATCTCAGAATGAAGGTGATAAAAATGTCTGAATATGAATAATAGGAAATCAGAGAACAATGGAAACAAGCAAGCAAGAAAACAGGCAAGGCAATCAGAGTGCCTAGTCTCTCCCAAGCTCTCTAGCCAAATAGCATTCTGCTTCCCCTATCACAGTAGGGTCATATACCTTTTACAAGGTAACTCTCAAATTTTCCATCCCTTGTCAACTCAGCCGTTAGTTATTATTTCTTCTCTGTTTTCTATAACCCTACACGCACGCACACACTCCATTTTGGTCCCTTTTCACTTCTTATGTACACTTTGGTTATCTTAATGGAGTCCTATCAATCAAATACATCCTAGGAAATGTTATGTTCTGATTATTACCTCGCTAAAATTGTAATCAAGTTCTGCATGGTAATACATGTGAAGAGCAAAGGAAAGAATGCAAAGATAGTCTTTAATAAATATCAGTTTACACATGGCTCACTAGTGTGTTTGACTTACTACAAAAGCTGAACGGATTAGCTCCTCAACATAATCAACAGTTGCACCTTTCACAAAATCATACGAAATATTGTCAACAACCAGTTTACATCCATCCCTCTCAAAAACCCTGCCAATACAAATACATATATAAAAGTAAGTTGTAATTCGTAAAAGATAGGTTGTAGCATGTTCAAAACCAGCACAGAAGTGGCGAGCATATCATCAGTGAAATTTGACCGGTTCGAGGTACATACCTGTCATCTGAGTTAATTCTGTCATCCAGATTAAAAGCATACTGAAACCCAGAACATCCACCAGTTTCTACACTTAAACGAAGCAATTTGCGGTCTGCTGATGATTCACCAGCATCTAGTTCCTTAATTTTCTGTTCCATATTCAATAAGTTGATATTGATTACATGTAAAAGTCCAATAATTAAGGCAAATAAGTTTCATGATTTTGCTTTTGAAATAAGCATAATAGACAATTTGAGCAATACAAGCAAAATTTAATTGAGCAATGTGTTAACAAGATGTTTCCGATGCGAGGAACAAATTTGCAGCCACAACATCGATTAAAGAGGAAGGACTGCTTCAGTTTAGCGTTATTTTATTTAAATTGCTTTACAGAATATAATCACAAAATTAATAATAAAAGAAGCAATCGAAGATGGAATTAAACATACTCGAACGCAGTTTTCGGTCATGCAAACAGGCTCCACGACAGAATCAGACGAAGAAGAAGCATGGTGAACGACAGAAGTGGACAAAGAACAATTGTTTCTTAGCCTCAATCGCACTGCCAACGGCGGAACCAGGCGTCGAATCAGTGACCTCTCCATCTCTCTTAACCATTTATGTTCACCTTCGCTTCATTTTATCACTCTTTCTTATAGACACACAGTCCAGATTCTGCCACGTTACCAAACAATCAACGGTATAAAATTTTCCAACTGTTCAAAATCAAAACACAATCGATGACTGAAGTGAAATAGCTGTTTCACTTACTTTTTCTCATAAAATTAAAACACTGAGCACTGAAGTGAAATAGCTGTTTCACTTACTCTTTCTTGTAAATAATACCATTTTGAAAAATATTTTTTAAAATAACATTTTTATAATATTAATATTATTTATCTATTTAATACTATTTACTTTTTATGTTTGAAATTTAATTTTCAGGAAATCAAATTTTTAATTACCATTTCTATTTTTTTTAATACTATTTACTTTTTATGTTTGAAATTTAATTTTCAGGAAATCAAATTTTTAATTAGCATTTCTATTTTTTTTTAGTCAGTCAACAATTCAAATTCTAAACTGATTTTTCTAATTTTATTTTTTTGGTTTTTATTTTTATTTTATTAATTTTATAAATAGATTTTTTATAATTTTAAATATAATTTATTTTTAAGTTTATAATTATTATTTTAATTTATGAACTATATATAATTAATTTGAAATTCATATATATAATTATAATTTATGTAATATATATATATATATATATATATAATTATAATTTATATAATATATATATATAATTTAATTAAGATTAAGAATAGATATATTTTTATTAATTTTATAATTATAATTTTTTAAGGTTATAATTCTAAATATAATTTTTTTAATTTTATAATTATAATTTATATAATATATATAATTTATAAATAGTTATTTTTTAAAATTTTAATTTGCTATATATTTTTTATTTATAATTATTTAATATATATTTAAAGTAATTTATTTATATGTGACTTTTTTATATAATTAATATTTTTAAAAAGAATTTGAACAACCCATTATGTAGGACTTAATAAAAAAGTCACATGCACCAAATTTGATCAAACTATATAACTCATCACAAATTTTTTTAATTTTGAAAGTCATATATTAATTATATAAAAAAGTCACATATAAATTTTTGTTAAAAGTCACCAAACAATGAGAATTAAAAAAAAATTAATTATGTAAACAAATCACATATAAATAAATTATTTTAAATATACATTAAATAATTACATATAAAAAATATATATCAAAATAAAATAAAAAAACTATTTATAAATTATATATATTACATAAATTATAATTATAAAGTTAAAAAATTTATAATTATAAATTTAATAAAAATATATATCTATTTTTAATGTTAAATAAATTATATATATTATATAAATTATTATTATAATTATATATATATATATATATATATATATATATTACATAAATTAAAATTATATAAATTAATTTCAAATTAATTATATATATATTGCATAAATTAAAATAATAATTATAACTTAAAAATAAATTATATTTAAAATTATAAAAAAATCTATTTATAAAATTAATAAAACAAAAATTAAATCAGTTTATAATTTGGTTTCTAAGAATCATATTCTGACGAAAAAAAAATTAGAAATGATAGTTAAGAATAAACGTAAACACAGATGGATAAATAATCCTCGAAAGATGCTTTTGAGAAATATTTTTTAAAAGAAATATTTTTTAAAATAATATTATTTATGAAAAAGTCTGTTTCACGCATAGAAATTGTTTGTTCGAATAGTTCGAAAATTCGAATCAAAGCGTAGTAACGTAAAAAAAATCGAAATCTTTCTCTGATTGCAATTTGCTGAAATTTTGTTTTTTTCTATTTAATTTTCTGATTCAGTTTGGATCTCACAGGGGAAGATGCAAAACTGCGAGGAACAGAAGTACGGAATTCGGAAATTAGAGATCTCAGACAAGGGCAAAGGCTTCATCGAGTTACTGCAGCAACTCAGCGTTTGCGATTCTGTCTCTGACAAAGAATTCGAGGATCGATTTCGAGAGCTCAGTGCTGTCGGAGATGACCACGTTATTGGCGTGATTGAAGACGAGGCTTCTGGAAAGATCATTGCGACAGGGAGCGTATTTATTGAGAAGAAATTTATGAGAAATTGCGGCAAAGTTGGGCACATTGAGGACGTTGTTGTGGATTCCAGCGCTCGTGGGAAGCATTTGGGAAAGAGAATCATCAACTTCCTCACGGAGCATGCGCGTTCCATGGGATGCTATAAGGTGATTCTTGACTGCAGCGTCGAAAATAAGGCATTCTATGAGAAATGTGGCTTCCAGCAGAAATCCGTTCAGATGGCTCTGTATTTTGCTGACCACTAGTTTTTCTACTCACTTTCTATGCAAATTTATTTCTGTGTAATTCCATACTCTGTTTCCCTAGTACGTTCATTCGTTTTGTTTTTCAGCTTTAAACGTGTGTTTTTTGCCTGTTTCTGGAGTTGATTTTTTCAACTCTAAAAAAAAAATCTGCAAATACTTCCAAAACAATAAAAACTACAGTATACCTAGCTGAAGATTTATTTGCTTGATATAATTTACAATTTAAGTATATGATCAAAAATCAATATTACTTCAAGCATCTCGTTTTCAAATCATATAGATGAAGAGGTATGTACAACGTCTTTTCTCCTTTCTCTTGTGTACATATTTTGGTTATTAATTTTAAGGAGAAAAAAAATTCAAAGAATATTTCCTGAAAATACAGATGGCGATGGAAAATGTAACTAAGTTTCCAATGTGAAAAATACAAGTTTGTTATTGAGAGTAATTTCAGCTTGAATTTATGAATTTATGTTTGGCTCGATTCAAAGTTAAACCAAACAAACATATATTGAAGTCACATTTAATTTGATTCCAAGTCAAATCAATTTAACTTGATCTGAAGTTAAACCAAACAATGCACTGAAACAATCACCACACACTGCACGACCACGTCTTGTTCAGGTTGAAGGAACTTTCATCCCCGTTAGTCACGTTCCCAATCTCAAACAACTTGAAGTTCATTCATGATCTTGATCTATTAGCAGAAATCCCATTGAGTAGATTGTAGAATACAGCCCCATTTCTCCCAGGGTCACATATAATGCATCCAAAGAAGGCAGCATGGAGGTTGCACTGATGGAGACAAGAAATGAGATTAAGCAGCTGTAGTCATAGGATTTGTCTCCTCAGCCAAAGGTGAACTCCAAATGATAAAAATATAATCATTGATTGAAAATTTAACAAAATAATACAATTAACTTTGTTATCTACATTCATACATTTTATCATTATCTCAACAGCTAATTTTTCAATCAATAAATATAAATGATTATCTTCTAAAGTGATTTCTTCACTTTACAGAAGCCAATTATGACATACGAATAGCAGTACAAATCAAAGAATGAACTGACATAACACTTGCAACATATTGGAGATTTTAAATGGCATGGCCAAAAGATCACTTGAGAATCACTGGCATAAAAGAGGAAACACAAAGGGTCAATCCTAAGAAATTAATTGTAGGTAAACATCGTTAAAAAGGTTATGATGCACAATCAATCAAATCAAAACAGAAACTTAAGGTGGAAAGATGCTAGAGTTCAGATTGAATTAAAACAAGATTGTTTGCGGAAACCTACCCTCACCAAAACAATGTCAATAGCTAAGATAATGTCCTAATTATAACATAATATCAAATTATTTCTGCTTTGTCAAATGCTTATCAGCTTCTGATAATAAAGATAAAAGCCATTAGAACACAATGTGATGGATATTTAGCCATACATCCCGCTATGTAATTTTTGGGATGCTGCTATGTTTCTGGTAATAAAGATAAAACAGTAAAAGCAAATTCTGGCTTAAAATGGCCAGAACTGTGGAGACATCTCATGGTTTCCCTAATAAACTACTGTCATCATACATACGAACTGTCTATACTTTCTCTTTTCTTCCATCCTGTATGTTGGCCTTGTCGATTCTGCGAAGATGATCCAATGATTCTTAATATCCATTAAAAAAAATCTACCAAAAAAATTATGCATCTCTTTGATTTGCAAAACATGTGAAAATGTGCAAGGAGATCTACATACAAAAAGTTGTAATTAAGAAATGTCTATACTGTTAGCCCCAACATTCGTGAGAACCAGAAACAAAAACAATAGCAATGTGTAAGGTAAAAATGCAACCGAACATAAAATTATTTCACGAAACTATGCCTTCAAAATTTGTCACAGTATAATGGGCACTAAATTGACCCATCAAAAGAATAAGCATAAATCTAACACACTGATATAGATACACAACGAATACTGTTAGCCCCAACATTCGTGAGAACCAGAAACAAAAACAATAGCAATGTGTAAGGTAAAAATGCAACCGAACATAAAAATTATTTCACGAAACTATGCCTTCAAAATATGTCACAGTATAATGGGCACTAAATTGACCCATCAAAAGAATAAGCATAAATCTAACACACTGATATAGATACACAACGAATACTGTTAGCCCCAACATTCGTGAGAACCAGAAACAAAAACAACAGCAATGTGTAAGGTAAAAATGCAACCGAACATTAAATTATTTCACGAAACTATGCCTTCGAAATTTCACAGTATAATAGGCACTAAATTGACCCATCAAAAGAATAAGCATAAATCTAACACACTGATATAGATACACAACGAAAGTACTTCAATTATCGAAGTACTCAACAACACTGCTGTCCAACTATTCCTTTGTAAAACAATTGATGGAGCATAGGTAAAATGATATAGCTTCTGTTCTTTAATCAAGTGGCTTTAACATAGCTCTAATGGCATCTGTCCTGGTCTTAATGGGACAGTAGCTCACACCTATAACACAGCTCCTGGGCACTATCAAGAGGTTGCAGTTATGACACAAGGAGTTTCATCGTGTCGATCCTCCACATCCCTGTTTTCAACTCCCTTACCAGTTCAATTCACAACCATTCCAAAATTATCATGTCCCAAGAACAGTGTCTATTGAAATCCATGTTAATTCTTAAGTGATTGCATCTTCAGCGATCAAATTTGTTTAGAGCGCCTGCAATTAGACAATCCACTCATCAACTTATTGTATGAAGCAAGATCAGGTATAAACCCCCTGTCCAACATTTCATTCACCAACAACTCTCCTTCCTCCCTCCCTCCCTCTCCCATATAACCCATAACCAAAGTCCTATAAGTCATGTCATCCGGTTCCAAACCCTTGCTCAAAGCAAGTAACATCAATCTATTCGCCTCATTGGTTCTCCGTGCATCGCAAATATCCCGAAGAACACAATTGAAAGTCACAACATCCAGCACCATACCCTCATCAAGCATCCTTTCCACAAATCTCTGAACCTCATCAGTCTTGCCCAACCCCCTTAACCCATCAACCACAACAATACAAGCAACCATACTCGGAACACTCCCTCCATTCCACAACTCATAGACAACTTCCAACGCTCTCACAGCACACCCTTCCCCACACAATACCTCCACTAAAGCAAAACAATCAAACCCCTCTGGCATAACCCCCTTTTCAGAAAACTCCAGCAACAACTCACACGCCTGTAAAACCTTCCCTTCCTTACAAAGCCCTTGAACCAAAATCTCACAAGTAACACACGAAAACCCACACCCTAGTTGAACCATCTCACGAGCCATCCCAATGGCATCCTCAACCCTCCCCTCTCTAAACATCCCCTTCATCAAGGTATTAAAAGTAACCACATTGGGCTCACACCCCATTTTCCCCATCTCGTGAAACACCTCTAGAGCCAACGCGAACTGCGAGTTCCGACAGTAACCACTGATCAAAATATTGAAGGTAAAAACATCAGGCTTAACGCGGTGGGTAGCCACCATCTCACGGTAAAACTGGAGGGCCTGGTTTAGGTCACCTCGTTTGACGAAGGCGTGGATCAGGACGTTGAAAACGGCGACGTTTGGCTTGGAGTCTATCAATTTGGTCATGGAGTGAAATGCAGAGAGGGCGTGGTGGAGTTGGGAGGATTTGGAGAAGGCGTGGATGGCGTGGGAGAAGATAGGTTGGGTGTGGGGGCAGGAGAAGATGGAGGGGGAACAGGGGCAGGGGTGAGTGGCAATAAGGTGGAGGAGGGCGCGGAGCTGGGGGAGGCGGTGGGTGGCGGCGAGGGTGCGGGCCATCCAGTGGAAAGTGGCATGGGTGTGGCGGAAGGAGTCGATGGAGGAGGCCCAGGTGAAGAGGTGAAAGTCGAATTGGGAGAAGGAGGGGTGGTGGTGGAGCTTCGATTTCAGGAAGCGGAGGAGGGAGTCTGGAGTGAACGGTGGAGCCCAATGGGCCCTCAGGAAGTCCAGGAAGCGGGCGTAGTGAACTGGGGACACGGGTGTGTCAGAGGGTGGAGAGGGTAGAGGGAGGTTTGAGATCGCTGAAGAGGAAGAAGAAGAAGTTGAGGGTTTTGGTGTTGGCAATGGTCTCGGATTCAGTAACTTCTTCGTCGCCATTTTCTGCCTCCGAATCAGGATTCGTAACACGAGACCTAATTATCTGTCATTTTCGCAAGAGGAGAAAATGACAGAAGCATGTAATAGCGGTTCGGGGTAAAGTATCTGAAGACCGTGTACACGTATAAATAGTTAGTGCCGCGAAAAATCATAACAACAAGTGGACCAAAATCGCAGAGAGCAACAGAAATTCAAAACGCAGCAGAAGAAGCTCGTGTCGTCTCGTGAATCAAATTTGATTCATAAACAAATATGTTTCCTGTTTGCAACCTTTCTCCTCTTTCTCTGCAACCGGTCATGGTAACTTCGATACTCGGAAAACCTACCAAACATTCTTCGTTTCTCTTTGTCACCAACTCGGCGTCTTCCGGAGAGGGAATCAGCACGCGCCGAAGTACCATTTCGCCATTTGAATCCCGAATCTCACTCATTTTCGCTCTCGCTTCTCAAGCCAACTCACTCTCCCAGCGACGTAAATGTTTTCATCCATCTAACACTTTGTGATTTTCTCTCCTTCTCTTCACTCTGCAATCTCCCTAACTATGTTTCGTGCCGCAGTTCTAGCTGACGTGGCTGCCGAGACTGCCAAATACTTGTTTCCGAAGAGATTCGAAAGCCGTAATCTCGAGGAGGCGTTGATGAGTGGTACTTAGTTAATTTCGTCCTGTAATATGCAAATTGCTGTTATAATGTTCCCTTTTCTAGTGTAATTAATGTTTCAGTGTTGGCGCTTCGTTGTAGTTCCGGATCTTGAGACTGTCGAGTTCAAAGTTCTGAGTATAAGGGACCAGTATGAGATTAGGGAAGTTGAGGTGTGTGTATGTCTAGCTCTTTTGATATAGTAAATTCATTTTTTTTTTTAATTCTACAGATATGTGCTTTCTAATATTCAATTCTAGAGTAAATTATACTTATCATCTACGATTTTGTGAAAATATTTTTCAAAACTCCATTCGGGACCTTGAGACTGTCGAGTTCAAACTCTTACTTCTTAAAGATTTACAACCGCCCCTCTTACAGGATAATGTTTATCAAACAAGGAAGAAGGTTAGCGTGATGCATAAGAGTGTCAGTATAATGTTTTTCAAACAATCAAAAGATGTAAGGATAGGGGTAGAAAAAACTCAAAAGTTTGTATAATTTCACAAAATTTCTAATAGATTGTTAATGTAATTTATCCTGAATGTTGTAAATGCTTCTTATGAATTCTAATAAAATATTTGTTTTTATTATTTTTTTGACAGTTGCTAATGGTCAGCCAAATCTAATAAGTTATTGCATTTGGGGATGGAACATTGAAATGTATTATATGATGTATTAGGTTTATGTATTTAAGGGACTTAGTTTTCTTGACATTCTTGGTCTCTAGAGATCATATATTGTTACATAATCCTTGCATATGAAATACACACAAATAAAAGTGTTTGTCTTTACACTTCCATCTTTGCTGTCATTGACAAACCATCCGGTCTTGGGAATGTCTCTCCCTTGGTATGATTATTATTTTTGCAGCCTTACTTTGTGGCAGAGACAACAATGCCTGGGAAGAATGGATTTGATTTCAATGGTGCTTCTCGGTCCTTTAATGTCTTAGCTGAGTACCTTTTCGGTAAGGTAGTTATATATTTTAGACTTGAACCACATTCATTTTTTTTTTAATTTTACTTTGTTGTATTCGATCACTACCTCTTTTTGTTTTCCCCTTCTATTTTGAGAGAAGACAGAAGATATAGATGTGTTCTGTTGTTTTCATGGTAGAATACAAAGAATGAGAAAATGGAGATGACTACACCTGTTTTCACAAGTAAGAATCAATCTGATGGGGTTAAAATGGATATGACAACTCCTGTGTTAACAACAAAGGTATTATGTTTATTTTATGGATTTTGTGAAAAATCTCATTTACTATCTTTATCTTAATTATTTTTATATGCATTGCGAGCAAGCTTAGCAGAATTAGATTTTTTATTTGCTATGAACCTCTTTTCAGCAAACATAACTGTAGCAACATATCTTTACGTATGGAAATACTCAAACTACCAAATCTATGATATATCCAGTGTACTAGCGTCATTTTCCACTTAACAGTTTGATTTTGTGATATTATTTTGCTGGAAGTTCTATATTTAATAATCAATACATCTATTTGATTAGGAGCTACTTTTTCAATATATATTTGAAAGAAGTTATGATATTCTAGTTTATCAATGCATTATCTTAGATTGAAGATCAAGACAAGTGGAAAATGTCTTTTGTCATGCCATCAAAATATGGTGCTAACTTGCCACTGCCTAAAGATTCCTCTGTGATAATCAAAGAGGTGCCTAGAAAAATAGTTGCTGTAGTTTCCTTTTCAGGTGCGCTCTTGCCTTGATATATTTCATAAATAACTTCCATACAAATGTAATTTAATTTAATTTCGCCATGTTGTGTGTCATGTTTTATATGCAGAAACTTGGTGTAAATATTTAACTACTAGACGAAGCATAAACACTACAAAGTAGATTTATTTCAATTTTTCATTCACATGTTTACGTGTGTATGTTCATCTCGACGTGTTCCATATTTTATTTTAAGTAAATGAGTGTGTTGCATTTTTATTTCAATTGAATACTGGTATGCCTGAGCATGAATCATGGTTGGCTAACCATAAAAATAAATTAGATCTCTCTAAATATTTATTGCCGCATAAATGCATAAAAGTTTCATTCGAATTTAATTTGAAGTGCTCGATCAAATAAATAAGTTTCTTTCCTTTGAGAATCAGGTTTTGTGAATGATGAAGAAATTAAGCAGCGCGAACTGAAACTACGAGAAGCTTTAAAAAGTGACAGACAGTTTAAAATTAAAGAGGGAACTTCAGTAGAAGTTGCACAGGTTAGAATCTTAATGCAATATTAGGGTTAAAGGGAGGTTTACCGTTGATCTTTTTCTTCTTCAAATGTCAATTGCTCTTTTATTTGCTTGCAGTATAATCCACCATTTACTCTTCCATTTCAACGCCGTAATGAGATTGCTTTGGAGGTGGAATGGAATAATAAGTAGGAATAATATTCGCCAATTTGAGGTACTTCTGAATTTCCATCATTGATGTTTTGAGCTGTAAAAGTTTATCTGCTCAGTATCATGTATCGAATTGCAATACAAAATGATGGAGGATCTACCAATTAATGCATGTTTAAATCTAACATTGTAAATGTGAGTTACATACTATGAAAATTACATTTGGATACTTTCGGACAAGTTACTTATACAATAGCACGAACTAGAAGACATGTCAATGGTAAGATTTACTTATACACACACACCTTTTACCTCTACCATTTCTTGCTATACTTCTCTGGTGGTGTTGAGACAGCGGAAGTTGGCTAATGATTTGACACCTTTGTTTTTCTCCCTTTTGTTCGTTATTGTGCTTCAGAAATTGTGTCAAATGGAGGTTTATTCTTCATTGAATTTTGTTGTTGTTGTTGTACTTATCAGATGTAAAGAAGGTCATGTTTTACAATTAAAATATAGAATTTCTCCTTCTCGTTTCATTATTCACTTGAATTTTCTTGAGATCCTCTGAGGCATTAATGCTCCCTGCTATATGATGAAAACATAAATTAGATACCTCAATCTTCCACTCACAATGTAGAGAAAGGTTATGATGTCTCAAATTATCAACAACTGTTCCCTATCTAATGCCCAAGTTACACCTATATGATACTCAAGCGGTGCATAAGTGACACCTACCTTATGCCCAAATAGTTCCTCAATGCCTTTGCACAGAAAATGTTAGATCAATCAACAGAGGATTAAATAGTTCATGATTTTATTGCTTCATAAAAAATGTCACTTGAATGCTGATGCGAGACAGGTTTTGAACTAAATTAAAGACAATTCCAAAAACAAAAAAACTCCACACAATACTTGGCTATATATTTAGTAGGTGTATGTATTTCTCAACATGTCAATTTTCCTTTTATCCTGGTTCTGTTTTGTTGATGTTAAAACAGAGTGGAAATACTTATGGTGGGCAATGACAAACTTTGTGTCCACATGTGATATAAATGATGAGGGTGTTGACATTTATGCTTCAATATTCTAGATTTGGTTCTTTCTACAGCCAAAACATGTATGGAAATCAATACTTTGTTATGATGTTAATAACTAAGAGGGAAAGATACCCACTAGGAATTAGGTATGGTGGGAAGCAATCTTTGCTCCTAGTCCTAGGGGAGGATAAAGGTTTATGCCCTGAAGATGCAACTTCTGAAGACGACTATACCATATTGCTCCGTACCTGAAAGGACTAGTCTTACACCCAAAGGGTGTGGGAAAACCGGTGAAACAAATGGTTTCATTAGTCTTTTTAGTTTCTGGATATTTTATTGAGAGAAGATTTCTTTTCCATCTTTGTCGCTTTTATGATGGCAAAATATAAGATAATGAAAACTTAAATAAAATGTTTGTGAAGTTTCAAGGATTTTAGGGTCTGTTCCTTATCTCAAGTGTATTATATCAGTTTGCCGGGGTTGGATTGGATTGTTTATGTATGTAGTTAACAAATGTTATCAAACACAGTAGCAATCATCGCTGGCTTATGTTTTTAAGAATAATACATTTTCTAATAAAGAATTGATAATATGTAATTTCGGAAGCTACCAGGTTGCCATGATTGTTATGTGGTAGATCTTACAATTTCTTTTTAATCTATTTAAAATCAAATAAAGTATACTTGAATAAAGGAACAGTTGAGGTTAGATACTCGCTAGTTCTACAGGTTTACTTGGACTTGAACATTTTTTTCTTTAATCCTAGCCCTCTCCCCAAGTAAGTTGGATACGTCAAACTTGATTGCTCATTAACCTTCCCCACCTTTTCCTCTCTCTTTGTTGATTTCCTCGTCCTCTTTTTTATGTTCTTTCATGCCTTGTCACTTCCAACTTCCTTTGTCTTTAGGGCATGACTCAAAAAACACTTTTTTATTCCTCCTATGAGTTTTACTACCTTTTTAGGTATGTGACTATTCCTTCCATAAGTGTCTAATAGGGTTGCTGTAACAAGATGGTGATTGCAATGGGATTTGAACAACTGCACTGCAAAAAAAGTCTACCCACATGGTAACTTGAGTTGCTACTAAGTCACGCTTGTTGATTATTCACAAAAGCAATTTAAAATGATAAATCTAATCTACCTTTTAGAACGTGATTCTGTGTCCTCACTTATGTTAGCTGATTGGTATCGAATCTAAACCTTTCAAGCTGTTGCTGCAAAACAGTGGCAGAAAATTTTATGAATTGTATTGGTACAACGGTTATTGCCAAAACTTATTTTATGAGATGGCGATCTTTAGTGATCTGTGTGGTTCTCGCATAATTAATTCAATTTAACACCCATCATCCCCGTGCCTGAGATAGATTAATGTGATACATGAGTAGGAAATTTGATAAATATCGTATGGTTCTGATAATTTCAAATAATCTTGCAGATATAAGCAGTAATAGAGATTAAATCTGAATTAACAATAAAAGATAACGTGGTGTGGTAGAAATGAGAGATCTTACACTTTCAACGAATATAGACGCTTTATCAGAAGTTGACCTGTCTCATCAGATTATGTATGGACTATGGAGTACTGGCAATAATGGGCAGTTGATCCAATGAAATGACAACGAGAACAGTTGATGAGCAACACCATTCTAATTATATTTTCGCCATAAACTCCACTGTGAATGGCAAACAGAATCATCTTCTCTTCATTATTTATTCTTTTTCATGGAAGTTGTATTTGCATTTGAAAAATTCGTGTGAATGCACAATTTACCTTGTAGTTTGGGTTGTAATAACTAATAAAAAGAATTTTCAGTGATTTTTAACGAATTCATAACGCATTATTTATATGCATGCAGAACATAGAAAAAGCAAAAAATTATATTATAGCTCTTATTTATCGACCTTGAACTTTCTCCACACCTTATCTTACCGCCACATTTTTCATTTCTCATTGTTGATCCGTTTTAATTTATTTTTTAATTTAAATTATATCATTTTTGTCCGTTTTCATAATTCAATTAATAAAATTTAAATTGTAATAATTATAAATTTACATAGTTAGAGTAAATTACATAAACACTATTGGCACTTATTTTACATCATACTAACATCCTTAATTTTTTAAAAACATTGTACTTTGTATCCTACAAGGGAGGTTGTTATAAATATTAACAAGTGGAAATGTTTGTATAATTTCATGGAACTTCAGATAGTTAGTACAATTTACTTTATATTAGGACACAATTAAACTGTATATTGAGAGATTTAATCACAATTGCATTATCTTATGTGATTAAGAGTCAATAAAATTTACGAATATATTTGTACCCATAATATAATTATAAAATGAATCTAGTTCATTGGAGACATTAATTTTCATCCTGTAAAATATATATATATATATATATATATATATATATATATATATATATATTTTAATATGAAGATTTCAAACTATAACTAAAAAAAGTTTGAAACTTCACTTAAAAACTAGAATTCGTAAGACTTAGGTTGCCTTCAAGATAATCTAAAATTATTTTTATAAGATTGAATATCCTTTATGGGATTAAAAAATTCTCACTCAACGAAATTTTCTTTTCTTCCGCGATAACTATTCTGTTATTACCTGATTTATTTATTTTTTTCAAAGGGTGAGATACACTCGTCAGATAAAATATAGATAATACAGTAAATATATCATCAATAAATAATACATATTTTACGGTACTATTTATATTATTTCTAACTAGTTTTTACAGATGGAGTTTCAACAAATGTTCTTATTATCGATAATCATTTAAATTAATTTAGCTTATTAATCTTATCATAAACCATGTTATAGAAAAATGCTAACATCCTCTCGACATGATTTTGTATCATGGTATTTTGAAGAAACATATCGAGACTCTGTACAAGTACAAAAATAATCAAACCACTTCTTTCTCAGTTCTTGGATCTTAGCAGCTGAGTTAAGCCTCAAGCTTTTGCGGTATTTTACTATCTCTTAGTCACACATATAACGTTTGCGTCGCTATTTTTGCAGCATGCAATTGTAGTTAGCCCCCTCTCCACATGGACTATATTTAGAATAGATTGAAAATACAGAGTATGGTTAAACATTGGAGAAGAGATTCAACAAAAAGATTAAAGATGGTCAATTAGATTTTGTGATAGAAACCAGTTATCAGGAAAGTTGGTATTCGCATAAACAACATTGATTGTTAAAAAATTTAGTGATTTGTGTGGACCCTTATCTGTTTCTTCGCTGCTCATATTTTCCATTTATTAGCAATATCTATTAAAAAGCTACCTCTCTCTCTCTCTTGCACACTTTCTGAGTTCTGGATTTCACTACTAGAATTTCTTTTGTGTGAATATTTTTACAAATTTTTTTACAAATGATAAAAAACAAGTTTTCTACAAATTTTAAAACTTTTTTATAAAAAATTAGCAAAAAATAACTAAAATTTTAGTAGTGTTTCTTGTGGGTGTTTTTATTTTGATGTAATAAGAACACAAAATTAGCGTAGTGGAAAAGAAACCAAAATTGATGTCTAAGGTTTGTTTTTTTTTTTGTTTTCGTTTAATATATGTATCTCTTGTTACACTGTATGAGGCAAGAAAGAAAAAGAAAATTTCTAGCATGGCACTGTATTGGAATCTCAAATACAGTGCTACTTTACTTCAGGTATGCTTTCCAACGCTGGTTTCCACCCTTGTGAGACATCTTCGTTCTTTTGAGACAAATCTTCACCCTTGTCCTCATGAACTAGAGACAACATCTTGCTGACTGAAAACCCTTCATTCTGCAGCATTTTCTGCAGCTCTTGCTTACTGATAACCAGCTTAATCCTAACCACGTTACTTTTCTGTACATCTTGGACTTCTGGGTCCGCGAACCTCACCTTCTTGTTGGATTTTGGTGATGGCGGTGGTAGAGGTACTAGGTTGTATAACTTCCCTCTAAGCAATTTTGTGTGTGGCTCAAGATACCGCAGGACCGTGAGAGATTCAGACACTGCATGGCCAGAAAATTGTATCAAAACCTCTTCTACTTTGATGGGTGTTTTGTATTCAAGAATTTTCCCATCTGTTTTCATGATTTTCACAGCGTTCTTTTGCAGTACCAAGCAATTTCCCATGGCTTTTCTGTAGTGGTTTTCTTGGTAGGCAAGATGATAGTTCAGTAGTACTAAGCAATTTGGTTTTGTGAATGCAAGAAAAGGAGCTATGAACCGTGCAATATTTAAACCAATGGTTTGTATAAAATACCCTCATGTTGTACCAAATATTACGAAAATACCTTTTGCTTTTTTCTTTCTTTTTGTCTTCTTTGAAAATTGGATTGTGTCCTGGACTCCTAGTCTCCTACGCTTTTGGTTATAAACATAGTGTGTGATAAATTTGGTATTAGAGTAATTATATTTCAATTTTTTTTTTCAGGATAACTAATTCACAACTCTTTAATTACAATAATTATTATTATTATAAATTAAAAATTTAATATTATTATATTATTAAAAAAAGGTTTTTAATTGATTATAATTAATTACATATAGGAAAATTTGTCAAAATATCATTATTTTTTTATCTAAAAAGAAATTAACAATGATAAATTAATATTTATACAAGTATGAATCTTCTTAAGTATTTTAAAATAAAATTTTGTTGATAATAATTATATTTTTATTTTATTTAAAATTTTCTTTATTATGTATATAAAATAAAATAAATTGGATCGAACATGCTGACTCATTAATCCATATTTTAATGAGTCAAAGACAGAAACATATACTTTTAAAAATATTTAATAAAAATAAAATAAATTATAATTTAAAAGTTTTAAACTTTTATTATATCAAAATACAAATATAGAATAATATTATAATTTAAATCATCAAATTTTACATAGTCTATAATTAAGTAATTTAGTATATAAAAATAAAAAATTCTCTCAAATTATTCAATATTATTAAACAAGAGAGAGTTTTAAAATATTGACATAACTAAATATGTTTTCTTTACATATATAATATTTGTTTATTTATTTATGGATGTGTATGTTAACCAACTAATCAGCATGCAGATTAAAATCCTCAATCCATTCTAATTACGTTGGATTTGCTAGTCTCGATTTATTTTTGGCACACTACATTAATGACTACTTTTCATTAAAAAAAATCTAAAAACTTTATTAATGACTAGTTTTCATAAAAATATATTAATGACTAGTTTTCATCTAAAAAAATCTAACTGAGAACTTTTAACATGTTTTCTCCTTCAGATCAAGTTTTTCCATTCACATGATTTATTTTTTATGTTGCATGATTTGTTTTTAAAAAACATGAAAAAAGTGGATTGTGGATTGTGGCCGGTTGGAGCTGCAGTTGAGAGCATGTTGGATGGGGGTGGGTGGGGTCCTCAAAAGCTCAAGTGGTTGACCACTTATGCACTATGGATTTTGCTGTGTTGACTAAACCCTGTGCCACATTCACTATTTCCTCCACTGTTGCCTCAAATCAAAACATGCTCATTAAAGTCGGCAACAGTGTTGAAACTTAAACCATGATGCAAACTTTCCTCTTCTGTTTTTTGCCAAAGGAATTATGACCCTCTTGTTATTTTGCTAAATAGATGGCCATATATGGACAACAACAAAAAGAGAATAACAACGTAGTTGCTTATGTCACAACCAACCAAAAAACATGTAATTGTGTACAAGAGATGAATCTAACCTTGTTATGTTGTAGTTGTTGAAGCTAGGTGCATTTCAAAAATGCAGGATCAATACACTTTTCTTAAACAGGTTTATTGCTAAGTACCATTGAACTTCAATTAATTGTAATCGAGTTAGGTGAACTATTTAAATAAATAAAACTTCAATATATTTGTCCCTTTTCAATTCATAATGCTTGAATTCTAAGCTTAAGAAAATTCAGGACCAAGCATTGATAACCTACACTATCATTATGATATTAATAATATCGCATCTTTTAAAATGTTTGATTGATTTTAATTTAATATAATTATGAGTTATGAGTATGTTAAAGTCTTAAAGTTAGAAAAGATTGAGAGAATAAATTGAATCTAAATGGTTGAAAAAAATGAATATAGTAGTGAAAAAAACATATTAAGTCAAAAGAATAATTAGTATTAATTTTTTTTAAAAGATAGAATATTAATAAATTAGGAATAAATGAATTAAAAGTACTATAAAAAACATATTAAGTCAAAAGAGTAATTAGTATTAATTTTTTTTAAAAGATAGAATATTAATAAATTAAGAATAAATGAATTAAAAGTGAAAAATATCGACAAAATTAGAAATATAAGACTTAAAAAGTGAAAAATATCAACATGGATAAATCGAAAGGAAATTATGCAAAAATATCTTTTAATGATACATCGAAAAATTGATGAAAATGATTAAGAAACAATTTAGAACTTGTAAGTTACTGAATAAACTTTCAACAAGATAAAACGGTTATAAAATGATAATTGTTCGAAGATTTTAATTTATAGTTTTATTATGGTTATTTTTGTTTTTATTTTATTTTAATGATACTTTGTCAATTACAAAAAATAATATTATAAAATAAGGATAATTAAAGATGATTATCAATTTATAAAAAAACTTACAATATGAAAAAATAATGCGAATTAAATATAAATCTTTTCAATCAATTTAGATTGTTATTTTTATTGATTTTCTATATCAATTCTTGTTTTATATTTGGTAATGAATTATTTTTATTTTTATTTAATTTAATCTTCAACATATTTATTTTTTCCATAATTTGCTTTTATAGTTTTTATTATTTTTACTAGTTATCTAATTGTATTAAATATAAAGGTTAAATATAATCAATATTTAATTAAAATCTACTTAATATTAAAAATGAGATAAAAAATCCAAATAATATTTAAATAATTCAATGCTTAATATGTATTAATTTTATCATACAACAAATTATTTTCTCTAAAAAGAGAGTCATTATAATATATATATATATATATATATATATATATATATATATATATATATATATATATATATATATATATATACGAGGAAATTAAAGTTAAGAAGTAACCAAATAGTTAAATTAATTACATCAAATGGTGCACAATTAATTCTCAGATTAAAAAGAAAGAGTTTATTTAAGTTTTAAACATTAACCAAAAGTGTTTTTTATTATTAGAGTGCGTTCTTTTGTGATATTTAATACAACCCATTTTAATCTTTGATTTAAAAAAACTTTATATTTACAAATTTCTTGTTTGGATTAGCAAAATTCATTCAAATTCAAAAACTGATCTAATCGATCCTTGATTCAAAAAATGGAATTCTTATAATGCACGTTTAAAAATAGGAAGCGGTTCCTAAAGAAACGTTGTTTTTTAGTTTTGATTTGTTTTTGTTTGGAAACATTTGGGATGGGAATCAAAGACCACTTGGGATCCATACATCAGCGTCGTTATCATTAACAGGGTTTGGTCGTGTGTCATTTTAGATTAGTGGTGGTCCACTTCACAAAATTTTTGAACCAAATTGCTCCTTGCCATTGCGCAAAATTTATCAGCTGGTTTATAATTACTATTGCTTTACAGTCTCAACCAAAATTTATATAAATATAATCATTTTTTGTAGACTTACTTTATTTTGATTCCTATAATCCGTTCATATTTATCATCCAATTTTTTAAAACTAAACAATTTTAATCAATTATTAATATGTTATCCAATTCTAAAAAATATTAGCGCGTAATCCAATATAGAGACTTTTTTTTTCTTGTAAGAGGATCACAAAATATTTTTATATATAAAATTTATAAGAAGAAAAAAAAATGTACAGTCATGACATCTCGTACTGTTCTCTCCCCTACCTATATTAATGTTAAAATATTGGTAGTTTTGTTTAATGATAAGCTTTAACATTTGTTATACCTTGAAACACTTTTTTTTATTATTATTAGAATTGAATTATATTAATATTAGATTCAAAATGTGGTTTAATTTTTAAGAAACTGATATGAAAGAAAAAATGTTACTAAATTTTTGTAGCCACCAATTTTAAGTCTTTTTACAAATAAAATAACATAAATTTATGTGTTGTGTGAAAACTATCTTTAATTATATGAAGTTTAACTAATAGTTTTTCATAAATGAAATATTAACTGTGTATTTGGATGAATAATTTTTATAAAGTGTAATTTATATTTTATAAAAAAATGTGAAATATTAATATATTATTGGAAAGAAATTAATTACCAGAGTAATTAAATTACTTAAAATTAAATAATTTTTAATTTTAATTAAAAAATAAAAAATAAAATAAAAATATTTTTCCTCTATTTTCTCTCACATTTTTTTTCTTTATATTGTGATATTTTTAAGCCACGTCACTATTATTATTATTATTATTATTATTATTATTATTATTATTATTATTATTATTAGACCGATGTTAATCATAAGTTAGTTTTTTTTAATATCAATGCTGATTTTGGATTGATGTCAAACATATTTTTCTCTATTAGGTTATTTTTCAGACAATATTGACCATAATTGTATTTTTGTTAATGCAAGTTAAGACAATATCTTTACACTAATTAGGATTTTTTAACTAACATTGGTAAGGGTTTTGTTATTGATGCAGTAAGAATTTGTTTATCAACTCCCTTAATCTATTATTTTACCAATAAGGTTTTCTAGATTATTTCTGGTTCAATATTATTGGAATTATATTTTTTTTACTAAGGTAGATCAAAGTTAATTCTCAATTGACATTAATTGAATATTTTCTACCAATGTCGTTAAAATTATTTTTTTAATGGATGTTAGTTAATTTTTTTCTAATATCTTTCTTAATTATTTTATGCAAGTATTGTTTTTCAATCGGTGTTTTTTGGTTTAAAAGAAAAAAGTTATGAAAAAAATTAACTAGGATTGTTTTGAATAATGTTAGTAAGATGTTTTTTAAGCCACCATCAATTGTAAAATTTGTAAAAAATAACTTGCATCAATGTAAGAGAGAAAAATTTATGATTAATAACTAAAACCAATATCAATAGATTTAGATAGAAAACCATTATCGAGAAAAGTTATTTGAAATAAATGAAATTTAAACTTTAATATACTT